CCGAAGGATCGAGTTCCTACTCCGCTGGAAAGACTGTACGCCCACCAAAGACAATTGGGTTCCCCTGGACAAAATCGAAAACCACCCCGTCCTCACCGAGTATCTGCGCAGCCGAAACTTCAGGGATGTACACGCACTTTCGTAAGGAGGACCCCCTTTGAAGGGGGGGGGGGGTAGTGTAAGGAAAATTCCTTTTCCTTACTTCGCATCCCTGCTCAACGCGTACATCACTGTAGCACCACAGTCAGCACCGTTACCACTCGCAATCCTCGCATCGACAATCCGCCCGCCACCTTCGCACGTCGCACCCCGACCTCACGGCTCGGCGGGTAACCCGCGCTCCGGGCCTCCGCTTCGACACTTTTCCCAACCTCAGTACCAGGCCCGTCGCGTGACAACCACGGTCCATTACCGTTACCACTGTAGCTTCGCTATATATTCTTCGCTCATTCCTTCGCTCATTGTACTCTTGCTTCAATAGTGCAATTCTCGTTCGTTCACTCAATTACACTCGTAACACATATCAAGCATATCATTCTCCGAATTTCAGTATCTGGTTTCCAGCAAGTCCGTACACGCAAAACTTGCACTTACTCTCCGATCGTGCAACTCTGCACCTTGGCTCTCCCATAATTGCCTATTCTGTGGAGCATGGTGCTGGCTCTCCACTGATGCACACTGGTGCGTTAGTTTGCCAGGAGAGGATTGTTCCGGGAACGCCGGTTTGGCTCCCAAACCGGGGGCCAAAAAGGCTGTTCGGTTGGCATCATGCACTAGTTCGCTTCGGTGCTCATGCGCCTATCCCAGATCCGAGTCAGCTGTTGTCCGCTTATCTCAGAAGCCTCGAGGGAGCACGCTTGACGTTAATCTTCCCGAGCCTGTTGTGAAAGTTTAGAAGAAAGAAGAGAATTGAACTAGCAAGAATGAGGATACAAATAGCAAACCCTAGAAGGGTTGTACTCGCTATAGAGCACCCCACTACAGGCTAGAGCATAAGATAACATTCTGACACACCCCATAGCCAAAGTGGGGTGTAATCAGCAGAGAAAGCAAGGCAGTACAAGCTCAGGGTGGATCACAATGTCACCACACATTCTGAGCACAAGTTCAAGAAGCAATAGTTTAGAGTTCACAATTATAAGCAAAGCTAGTGGTAGTCACAACGGGTAAGCGAGGAGGAGGAGAGAGAGTGAGAGGAGAGGAGATAGGAGGCGTCGGCTGAAGCTGCAGACACACGGGCAACAGGAGGCAGACTGGCACAGCGGCTACCGGACGAAGTCCCCGGAATACAGGAGTAACAGGCCCCGCGGCTAAAGTAGCGGCAGACGAGCAACGGACCCACGGGCGGCTGGCACAGCTGGCTACGACTGGGCTACCGGACGAAGTCCCCGGAATACAGGTGCTGCTGGCGACACGACGGCAACCTCCATACAGCTTCCCCAAACTATCCCACTCCCCCTGGCACACACCCGCTGCTACACCGCTAGCTCCACTCCCACGCACCCCCCTTAAACCCTAAACCCCAGTCTCCCACACATCCACCCCCCTCAGCGACAGCTGCAGCAGTGGGAGACGAAAGGAGGAGGAGGAGCAAAGGGAGGAATGAAGAAAGTGCCACCCCCATACTCGCCACCCCCTACTCGCCACCCCCAAACCCTAACACAGGCAGGGTGGGATGGCGGGTAGGCAGGGTGGGATGGCGGCGCTCGCTCCCCTCCCCCAGGTAAGCGGCCCCCGAGGGAGCCGCGACGGGCGACGGGAAAAGGGGCCGGGGCGCAAGTAGGGCGGCGGGGCCGCGAAGTTGGGGCGGCGGAGCCGCGACAGAAGGGCGGCGGGGCCGCGAAGTGGGGCGGCGGGGCCGCGCACGTAGGGTGGCGGGGCCGCGAAATGGGGCAGCGGGGCCGCAAAGTGAGGCGGCGGGGCCGCGACATGAGGCGGCGAGGCCGAGAAGTAGGGCGGCGGGGCCGCGACGGGTCCCCGTCGCCCGTCGCGGCGCCTCCAGAGGGCGACGCGGCGAACGACGGGGCAGAAGCCCGCCGCGCGCCTCGGGGCGCACAGCGGGCAGAGAACCGCCGCGTGCCTCGGGGCGCACGACGGGCAGAAAACCGCCGCGCGCCTCGGGGCGCACGGCAGGAAGAAAAAGCGCCGCACGCCAGGGGGCGTGCGACTCAACGAGTAGTGGAAGATAGTTGCAGCGGAAGCGAGGAGGTGGTAACCCACCCACAGGATCGATCCAAGGGGATCGACCTGCTCTGATAGCATGTGAAAGTTTAGAAGAAAGAAGAGGATTGAACTAGCAAGAATGAGGATACAAATAGCAAACCCTAGAAGGGTTGTACTCGCTATAGAGCACCCCACTACAGGCTAGAGCATAAGATAACATCCTGACACATGTGCCTGACGCGCCAGTCGAACAGAGCCAATGAAGGAATTAGGGCGTGTGTGGTCTTTGAAATTTGTGAAAGTTTTTGTTTTTAGGGTGTATGGTTTTTGAACTTAAGTCGATTGTAATTTTGAGCGAAGTTCGAACATTGGGACTGCAACACTACAGTCTGTAATATGCAATCACACATACAAGGTCGAACCCCGAAATTCCACCTGGTAAAAAACACACCGAGCCGCGTGACAAAATTGTAGGTTACCCGACTCTCCTAGGTGCCTCGGATGTTGCCACGTGGTTACCGAAGAGAGCCATAATCGTGGGATGTCTTCGTTGTGCCATTTTCAACTTCGCAAAGCCCTCGCCCGTTTCGCCCGCTCCTCGTACGTGCTGTAAATCACACACGCTCGCACGAACGTGCACACGCCGTTCACAACGCCGACTCGAGTCAAGTTCACATTTCACATTCGAACTTTTGTGCGTTGTAGAATCCATCCTCTTCGCGAATTGTTTGGACAAATATCGTGACACAGGTAACCACCTAAAGTTAGACCCTTTTTTCCGAACTTTAGAATATACCACACACGCCCTTATATTTATGAAACAACTGCGCCCTTGGCATTGAATTGCAAGACCCCAATGTGTTGGCCCCTCAGTGAACGCCGTTCACCAGCTCGTCGTTGACTCCGGGGGAAGCGAGCGAGTCGCATTGACAGCCCCACAGGTTCGTTCCCCTCGCACCGAGTTTGCTCTGTTAGCTCCGTGAAGTATACCTCAATTCCACACGTAAGCGCTGCGAAAAGGAATTCGCTTCGTTGGAATTGCTTGCTCGTTCGCGCTGTGTCATCTCATCCCATCCCACACATGCCAACAAGGCGGAACCTTTCTTTACCTCCCCCCCTCCCTTGACTTACTCGACTTCATTTCCATCTCCCGCCTCGAGTTGTGGAGGCAAACCACACCAAGAACCCTGGAGTTCACATCCGTTCCCAAATACGCCCGAGTATAAGAACGCAATGAATCCGCCTAACAAGGACATTCTAACGCAACCATTCATAACTCCTGAGAAGGATTAGAGTCGCCTTTTCTGATTCCCTCGTATATCCCTGACGGTTCTTCTTGAATTGTAGATTCACGCGCGTGTTTCCAAGAGCAGTAGAAATTACTCCAAGCCCAACCATCGCGATGAGACCGCTCGTGCACGCCATCCTCCTGCTCGTCCTCCTCGGCACTCTCGATGCCGCGCTCGCGCGACTCAAGAGGGCGCGCCCCAAGCGCGCAAGCCCCGCGGTGTTCATGGGCGGACAGCCCTGGTATCCTCCCCCGCAAAGGTTCCGCCCCAAGCGCGCCAGCCTCGCGCACCCGCTGCTAGACCAGCGCGAACCGTCTCCGCGAACGTTCCGCCCCAAACGCGCCAGCCTTGCGCACCCGCTGCTAGACCAGCCCGAACCGCCACCATTTAGGTTCCGCCCCAAGCGCGCCAGCCTTGCACACCCGCTGATGGACCAGCGCGAACCGTCCCCCCGTCGGTTCCGCCTCAAGCGCGCCAGCCTCGCGCATCCGCTGATGGACCAGCGCGAGCCGTCTCCGCGGAGGTTCCGCCCCAAGCGCGCCAGCCTCGCACACCCGCTGATGGACCAGCGCGAACCGTCCCCCCGTCGATTCCGCCTCAAGCGCGCCAGCCTCGCGCATCCGCTGATGGACCAGCGCGAGCCGTCTCCGCGCAGGTTCCGCCTGAAGCGCGCCAGCCTTGTTCACGCGGCTGAGAGCGCCCCTAGCGCTCCGCGGATGTTGCGCGGAGGAGGCTACGAAATTATTCGCGATGAGCCTGTGACTCGCTATAGTACGGTGGACCCGAATGATTATTATCCGGACTGGTACACTCCCCCGACATACTGGACTGACCTGGGATACGGTAGCAGCTGGGACTATGGTAGCGACATGAGCCCTTACGGCGATACCTACGTGAACATGGATGTGGATTATAATAATGGTTATGGCAATGATTGGTTATATGGAGGGTATGGCTCAGGGTACGGCGGGTATGACTCTTGGTACGGTGGTTATGGAGACTCTGGATACTATTAAGGTTTGTCGCAGGGGTATGGATGGGTTTGGGCTTTACTAGGGATTGCTCGCTCACCACAGGGCAAGGAGGAAAGTTCTCATATTTCGTTCTTCAGATAGGGATGTCGGCCTTCAGACTACGGGTGTTGGTCGTGGGGATCAATGTCCTAAATGGAGTGCTCTTACGCATCAAGTGGGTTTTTCCCTTTCGTTGTGTGAATATGTGCATGTTTTATCCAATAGACATGTTTAATTCTCTGCTTTTATAATTAGTGTTTAGGTCTTGTTTCATGTTCGGATGTTGAAGATAATTTTTCTATTGTCAAGCAGAGACTTTTATGAATCATGTAGTTTGTATGTCTCACCTGGAATTTCGTACACCTGGAAGAAAATGCTCACACAAAATAGTCGGAAAAATCTTATTACCCACAGTTGGAACACAAAACTTTACTCCAAGAAACCTAACAGTCTCTGTACCGTATGCTTTTTTTTTTTAGCGCAGTCAGCTGCACAAGATTGTGCACGGGGATTTATGCTGCATCCGCCACTCCTCTCAGTGCGCTCCAGCCTCCAGCTCCAGATCAAAGTGGAACACGCCTGCACCCATGCAAGCATCCATGTGATCAGCACATGTATACACATAATAAAGCAATTTAAAAGATTTTGGGGGCGGATGTGCATCATCTTACCATGACCCTTGCCAACACGTCTCAGCTGGGCGACATAGTCTGACACTTGCTTGATGGCATCGACCTGGACATAACAAACCAGCCGTAAGTTATTGACGCAACAGTATTGTCAACGAGCACAACCAGGGCCGACCATGCAGACAAAGAATAAACGTAATATAAATACCTGCTCGTTCAGGAAGTTGCCCTCCAGGAAATCGGTAAGCTGAACATCTCCAGCGTCAGATGCCACCTGCATAACCGTCACCAACACATGAAATTCTCAGTTCTCGACGTAATTTTGAGTTAAACATCACAAAACACATAGTCATCCAACCATCCGATCAGTATGAGTTAGACTTAAGAACCCAGAAACCTGCAACTCATACCTTGTGAAGGGCCAACAGCTTCTCGTTGACCAACTTCTCAAGAGCTAGGGTAAGCTCCATCGCTGCAAGAGAACAGCCCAACGGTGAAAGTTCAAACTGTGTAAGCTCAAAAGCCCAAATCCCAATCTTAAACCCAAAACTGCAATATTGTTTTCAATCCACAAGAAAGCAGAACGCAGACGCACCGTAAAGAGCATCACCCTTCTCAGGGTGATCAAATTCCATGGTCGCGGGCATCAGGATGGACTGAAGCTTAACCCGGCCACCACGCTTGTTCTGCGGAGAGGAAACCCAAATTTTAAAACGCGTGTAAGTGTGTAAGCCATGCCATCCCACAGCCCAAAAGAACATAATCCGATTGTGATTGAATGACCAAAATGTTTTCATTAATATCTTACACCCCATGAACGCACCTGGTACTCCATAAGCTTCTCTGCATGCTCGCGCTCCTCATTGCTGGCTGCCTTGAAGTACCTGCGTTCAGGAAGAAGATGCCAGCAAGTAGTGTCTAGACATTCCTACACCAGCTTCCTTGTCTGTAACGCTTCGAAATCACAACCCTCCTCGAATGAATGAAATGCGGCTGCGGAATTGGGATGTGAATGCGCAAGAGTTGGTCTACATTCTCAAGGAAAAACACAGGTTAGCTTACTTGGCAAAGCCTGGCAGGGCCACGTTGTCGCGGTCGAAGTAGCAGTACAGCGCATGGTACACATACGAGATGTTGTACTCGATACTGCACGAAACATCAACAGCAACGACCCTCAGAATCTGATCAGCATCCGTCCCCACCCTTTAAATAAAGAAATGTTATCCCTCCAAACATTGAAGTTGAGAACTAACCGTTGGAATAGCTTGCTTCAAAACTCACTTGATCTGCTCGTTGATCCCAGCCTCGGCGGCCGAGGAGTAGTTTTGCCGGGCGAACGACTCCTGCGGCTGGATGACGGCGGGAACCTGGGTGAGTTGGCTCTGCACCTCGGCGAACGGCTCGAACACAACGCCAGTCAATGTCGCCTCGGCTGTGGGCTTGGCCTCAGCGCGAACACCCTTGCGACCTCCGGATTTGACGAACGCGGGAGCAGGCTTGGTGTGCGATAGGGACCGCCCGCCAGCGACGGTCTGGCCGAAGCTGGCGACGGATCGTGCAGCGGAAGTTGAAAGGGACGCCGCCATTGCTGATGGTATATTTGTCTGGATCAACTGGTAATACCTCGAGATCTGCGAGACAACGTGCGTGCCCTAATAAGGAACGAGGACAAAACAAGCAGCTGAATTCAGGTAAGATCTAAGACAGTTCAAATAAGTCCCAAGGCGGGAACTCACTCAGGCTGGTCGAGCTTGTGTGCTGGAGCGTGCGGACAGCACGGAAAAGCGCAGATGCCGAGTTGGCGCCTAAATCCTTGCTGGCGGAGCGCAAGGAAGAGCAGGAAGAAGAGGAGCACTGGAAAAGCTGAGCTAGCAATGAAGCTGCTTCTTGAAACAGGGAATCTCAGAAGTAATGAAACAGGCACGCCTTTTACACGCATCCTGAACAGAGGCACCATAGAAAAGGCACACGCGGTGTGTTACGTTCAAGAGTGGTTAACAAGGGTTACGAGGATCACTGCCTGTTCTCTTACAAACAAGGGGAAGGTTGGTTACGAAAGGGGGTGCACTGGGGAATTTCAGCGTCAGGTCTACACACCGTGAGCACGCATGGGGGAGGTGAGTTGCATGGTGGGAGGCCTACGTGGCTAGAAGCCCACGTGTTGGCTCCGTGTTTTGCACACAGCCTTGAAACCCGTCTATGGGGGTTCGCCAATCACGTGTTGGGGCCGGAAATGCCTGTTGCTACTGATATCAAGATGTGAGCTGCTACGTGGACGAATAGTTCATTGACGAATCAGGCTTTCTGAGTTGTGACAATCGAAGCATCTATAAACCGTGGACACATTTCACTTAACGAAATTTGGAATCTGGAGAAACATGATTTGGAATTAGTACAGATTTACAATTTCACAAAACACAATACACAAGCACACACAAATTACAGCGCAAATGCTACAGCACAGCATGGATCGTGGCTTCGGCTAGCGTCTGCATTCTGCGAGCCTCCTCATTTTGCGCATGCGAGACCAAGGAAATCACCACATTCTGGGAATGAAAGTACACGGCGGGGAAACATGACGATTAATGAGACCCGTGCATAACACAGAGGGGATGCAAAATGTGAGTACAAGAAATGGTCCAGTTCACTCACCTGCACAGCGTGGTTGACAGTAGCAGCGGTTGCTGGGTTGGCAGCACGAATTGCAGCAAGGCGTGGAATCGCAAGCAGCTGGTGCAAAACTGCTGGTGCCTCCTCCTCCCTCCCACGACCCTGGTGGACGGAAAAGCCAGACAAAAAAAAAAACAAAGAAGAAAAGGTAAGTTGACAAGCAGCTGCCTTACCACACCGACAGACTCTGTCTTTCTGTCAAAGTGTGTTGTGATAGACAAAGGTAAAGGTAGGTGTACTGCCTAAGGTAACAGTTCGTGCAAAACCTTACCATGGCAATAAGGGCGTTGATGAGAGAAGCGTACGGCAGAGGCCATGCTGGAGCTAGCTGAAAGGGCCGACAGACAAGAAAAGACATTCCGAGGGAATTAAGACAGGAAAAAAGAGGGAATGAACAACTGCGAGGAAGGATGGGAGCAGCCTTGGCAAAAGCAGTGGGGGGGATGAGATTAGAGCATAGCATATGAGACAGCACGGCCATGTAGATGCAGGGACCAGAGGGCGGGTGAGGCTTAACATTCCAATTTGAGGAGGAGAGTTGGGGGTGCGGGTTTGAAGGTGGGGACATGGAGAGGGAGGGAGGGAGGGTTAGGATGAGAGCTTGCACCACAGTTGAGTTCACCCATTAGCACGCTGAATGCCTGTAGTGCCAAGAACCCGCACCTCAATGGCGCGCACCAGAAACCGCTCAGAAACTTCCCCGCCCACCCTGCGAGCTGCCCCTTGGGAGACGCCTGCTCGCCGCTCCTGCCCGCCTGGTACCACAACCACGCACCCCCTGGGCGTGGCCCCACCGACTCCTCCGTGGGGGCATCACATCCAGATCCATTCACCCCATGCATGAGTTACCCATCTCAACCTATCTAGCACCGACCCCAACCAATCTAGCACCACCAACCTCAATAGCATATTTTTGAGGCGCCTCAAAAATCCTCCGTGGGGGCATCACATCCAGATCCATTTACCCCGTGCATGAGTTACCCATCTGAACCTATCTAGCACCGACCCGAACCCATCTAGCACCACCAACCTCAATAGCATACCTCAATGGCGCGCAGCAGAAACCGCTCGGAATCTTCCAGCATGCATTTCCTCCCCGCCCGCCCCGCCAGCTGTCCCTTGGGAGCCGCCTGCTCGCCGCTCCTGCCCGCCTGGTACCACAGCCACGCATCCTGCGGCCGCAGCCCCACCGCCCTCCTGAGAAGAGGTAGCGCCTCCTCAAAGCGTTGGGCTTCGAGAAGGTGGCGGGCTTGCGATGTGAGACGCCAGAGCATGAGGCTGCGCGCGTCTGCATGGGGGAATGGCACTGCCGCCGCTGCTTCTGCTGCTTCTGCGGATGGGGAGGAGCGGCCGACCATGGCTACCGCCCAATTCCCAAGGTTGGCCTTTTCCTCTTCCTCCTCCAGTGCTTCCAGTTCTTGCTCGCTCAGCTCTGGCGGCAGGGAGAAGGTTCGGGGTGCTGCCACGTCAGCGTCTGATTCCTGATTGGTGGGAGCAGGGCAGCGCTGGCCCACATGCGATATGGCGCTGCAGCTACTGCGGCTGATGTTGATTGGACGGTGGAAGAGGAAGGGGAGGTGGGAGGGGTGAGGGGTTCAGGTGGGGAGGGGAGGAGGAGCGAGTCGAAGCAGAGAGAGGTGGAGGAGGAGGAGGGGTTGGGGAGGAGGGAGAAGACAGCCCAGGGGTGCAGGAGGAGGAGATCCGAGGAAGAAAGTGAGACCTGTCATGGTGTGGGCAAGTAGAGACACAGCGGAGGGGGAGGGGAATAAAGCAACAAGTCAAATTTCCAATTCTGATTCTGTAAAACTTCACTTCCTCTCAACTCCTGATTCTGTAAAACTTCACTTCCTCTCAACTCTGGGCACTGAATAACATCATACGTTAAAACTGGTTCTAACATCTGTAACTTAGGATTCTCAAGAGATTCCAAAACAACTGCCTCCAAAAATAACCTTGGGAATTACGAACGCTGGGCGTACCTTGATGGGTGCTGGGAGAGGCAGTTGGTTTGGCCGGGGGAGAAGGTTCAAGGAAGGTTCCTTGTCAGCAGCATCCAGCCAATCGGCTACGAGCCAATGGCTGTGCGGGAAGATCGCCAGCTGGGCAGGCGCTGACGTGTCTGAAAAATGTCAAGAGGTGCAACGCATGACAACAGGCAAACGCAGTTGGAAAAAGGAAGAGGTTGAAAGCCAATACATGTCAGACAAGCAGAAGCACCCATCAGACACACTAGTGACACACATGAGACACATGAGACACAGGAACTGAGAGCTTCGGTGAAATCGACAAGAAAATTCTCGCCTCTTATGACCTCACCATACGAATCCACGTGGCGTTCTGGCAGAACTCACCGCTGGTGTTTTGGGTGGCAACCACAACAGTCAGAATCGCATCATCCAGGCGCTGCCTACTCAGCTCCACGTCAGCAGGCGGCGTGCAGGCGACCTGCCAGCTGTCGCTGACGAAGCTCGGGTTCTCGCACGTCTTGCCGTCCAAACAGCCCAGGCCAGCAGACCATTGACGAATCACAGTGTGCCACGTGGCCGGGCCCTGATCCACGTTGGTCCCCGTCACGTCCTCCACCACCCGAAGCGCGGACGCCGGCAAGGACGGCAGAAGAGCCTTGGCTACAAGCGACGCGGGGGTGGAGATTAACTCAGCGTCCGACTCCGATTCCGATTCGGACGCTGCTGTCGTTGGGAAGAGCTGAGCGGGAAGCTTAGGCGGCTCGGACCATTCCGTTGATCGCGGAAGCGCGTCTTTGAGAATGACGAAGCCCTCGCGAAGAAGCTGCTCGCGAACCTTCTCGACGTCGACAGACGCTTCATCCTCCGCGTTTGCCGGGGCAGCCGCAGGTTTGTCAAAACTCTCTGCGACTTCCACGGCAGCGGAAGATCCGCCGCTAATTGCGGTAGGAGAGAAGGCGCCGATGCCGAGGAGATTAAGGCGCTGCCGGGACCCACCATTGCCGCTCTTGAGGAGCTGGCAATTTATGGTTGGCCGTCGTGATTCCACGTGGCAGTGAGGAGGAAGATTTATTGTAATAAAAGGGCAGTTCAGACCTGTTGATGAAATTTCGGAGCGCGCGAAAGCAGATAGGCCAGTGGGGACAAGCGAACGAGTCGGACACAAGGTAGCGGAAGCCATAGTAACAGGAGCAGGAAAACTATCCGCGGGTGCTTCAAAGCGGTCGTTACGGGCAGGAGCTAGTGCGCTTCACAAGAGAACCTCGGATTCTGACGGAGAATATGAGATTCTTGGTAAATGAAGCTGGTGAAGAAGCAATAAATGAATGGCTTCTGTCAAGTAGGTTCAGGATGATGGTCGGAAGAAACGCGGTCGAGCATACAACTTCAAGGCACGGAAATACCGACGTGCGACGTCGCAACCGACGCACTCGCGATGTGACCTTGAAATTCGCCGTGAGCAGGTGCGAACTCGCGATGAAACGAAAAGGAGATATGCAAAGGTGGCGTCGCTGTGCGATCCGAGTCCAAATTAGGTACCTGCGGCTCCAGCTAAGGCTCCACGCTGGACACTTTGCCATGTCATCAACATATGTGTGCAGGATTTGTGTCGTCGTCAGCCGCGGCCCGGCGCGCTGTGGGCAGGCGTAGCCAGGACACGAGCCACGCGTGCGAAATTAGTCACTTTGATTGGATATCTGCCCCTGAAGCACGTGCCGGAAGTTGCCTGCCCGAGAGATCGGCAACTTTGTCGACGCACTTCGCGAAATATATCTAGTTGTTCGCCGTATCAGACCACAACCCTGTGTGCTCCAGACCAGATTCCATGCTCAAGTGGTAACTTTCGATCGAAACTACCTTCGCTTGGTCGGTGCGGCGGAGGACAAGGGCAGTGGCTTGGGGGGTTGAACTTGCCCGCTGAAGGACAACCTCACATCCTTGGGTGCGTGCAGTATTAGGCCCAGGCAATGTACTCATGTGAAGTACCAATAACTAAAAAAAACTCTGCTTCAGAAGTTATTATTAGTGGTAACCATGCCTGAACAAATCTGAAATAAATACGTTATCAGCTCTACTGACAAGATAGAATGGATATGAACATGCCTTAAACAGGAAGGGCAAGTAAAATGAAATAAAACAGCACAGACTGGATCTGTAACACCATTTGTGCAAGAGCCCTGCACATACTTAGCTTTCCTTCTGACTGGACATCCTGCTAACCTTCTCAAATGGATCACTCCATCAGCTTTTGGAACCAACACCTGAAGCAGCATCAGTACTCTTCCCAACACCCATCTCATCCCCAAACCTCTCCCTCAGCATCGCATGCCAGTCATGAATGCACATGCGCCGCGACGAGTCATAAAACCAGAACCGGTTCTTTACCAACCGATCCTTCTTCGCCTCTTTCCCCGAAATCCAGTTATTATGCAGAATCGTGCACCCGCTGCATGCATTCGCCACATTCGGCTGGTTCCAAAAGTCATGCACAGCTCCATTCGGGTACATATCCCTCGGCAGAAAAATCGTCCGAAGGCCATTGCTCCACTGACATTCCTCCCGGTGAACCTTCCTCCCCTCAGCATCCACCACACTCTCTGGAAGCAGCAGCTCCCCCTTCTCCCCACATAGAACATCGTAGAAGCTTGGCTGTTCTGACAGTTGTGTCTTGGCTGCATGCGCGACAATCGCCTCAAATCCCTTCACAGTCATGGGATCCGCCCTCGCGAAATAAAACCCCGAGTTGATCCGCCGGATCCCCGTGCCTGACAGCGTCGCGTTCGGCTCGTTGCTCTGGATCGGGAACGTGCCAGGCCCGTACGAGAGCAGGTGCGGGAGAGGATCGGAAAACCAGACAATGTCCACGTCAGACCAGAGGACCGAGTACCCGGCCTTGAGAACCCTCAGCACCGCGCGGGATTTCAGCTTGGTGAATTGCCGGAAGCACTTGGTGCCGAACTGGCACTGGCCTTGGTCTATCCCCCTCATAGTTGTACTCGCGCGCTCGTAAAACACCGCCAGGCCTTGCGTGAACGCAAACCGGTACAAATCCTCATCCAGAGCCGCAACAATCAGGTTATTCCCGAGCCCCAGCTTTCGTAAATTGCACACGAAATTCATCAGCATTTCAGCATAACCAAACGTAACCGCAACCAGGGTTACCACCTTGAGCTCCTTGGGCTTTCCAGCGCCAGCAGCGCCTGGCAAGGGGACGTCCGGGACGATCCTGGCCAGCTGTGGTAACAGCTGCTCCATGGTGTGAGGGAGGCCGACGGTGGAGTTGGTGCGGGCTACGGCGTTGATGGCGAAATCGGCGCGGCGATCAATTGAGACGACGCCGCAGATCCAGAAGTCGCCCGAGTGGTGCTTGCGCGGGTCAGACTGGGTCTTGTACTCGTAGGCTGAGTATTCGCAGGAGCAGTTGGCCGGTCGCTCGCGCTTCAACATGCAGATGTTCAGTGCTGTTGGGGAGAGGGGTTAAGGGAGGGAAGAGGGGTGGGAGGGGGGGTGAGAGGAAAAGGGGGGAGTTGGGAACGGAGAATGAGGGAACGCTTCAGCATGCAGATGCTCAGCGCTGGGGGAGAGAGGGCAATGGAGAGGGGGCGAGATGGAGAGGGGGAAGGGGAGGAGGAGAGGGTGGGGGAGAGGGGAAGGGGGGGGTGGGAGGCGTTCCTATAAAGACACTTGCGGGTGACTCACAATCGGGTTCGTAGCACGACGAAAGCCGCCACGGCGTGTGCAGAGCCGTGCCCTTCTGATTCGTATACGTGCCGTGCGTCTCCGCCAGGTGAATATTCGCGAACAGCTCCCAGCTGCTCTTCTTCCGCGTGCTCCAAAAATGCCCGCCCGCCTTGCTCTCCTCCACGCGCACGTGCGAGTACGTGTGCGCCACGTGGATGCTCGTGATCGCGTCGCTCGCGTCTACCACCTGTCGCAGCCCGCTCGCGACAGACTCGTGCACGAACCAGTTGTCGTACTTCCCGCGCCCGAACGAAAACGGCGGCATGTGCGCCGAGAAAAGCGGAACGTTGGGGACGTTGTTCCACACCCAGAGGTCTACCCCGCCGTACGTGTGCAAGCTCCCCTCGCGCCGCACGAACCGGCGGATCTCCGCCTCGCGCTGCGCCTCCGCCATCATCCCGACCGGCCCGGGTTTCCGCCGCCACGCGTCTTTCTCAAACGAATACGGGAAATCCACCGCGACGTCCCATCGCGACGCGGTTAGGATCCACTCGCTGAAAAACGCCTGCACGCGCCCGATCGCGGGGACGATATCGGAGAGGAGAATAATATCCCCGTTGATCAGCATCGACAGCGGCGTGTCCGCCGCTTGCGCGCGCGCGACCATCGCGTGGAACAGCGGCACGCCGTAGAAATTCGTGTCGATCGTCGAGTCGACGAATACGGATCCCGGGAATTCCTGCGCGAGGAGATCGAAGCTGGGGTCCGATCCCAGCAGCACGACCTTGGGTTGCGGGCGGAGCCGCAGCCATGAGAGCAGCGCGCGGCGCTGCGGGTCCTCCGGGGTGTTCAAGTACGGCTTCGGAGCGCAGAAGATGGTCATGGAGGGAATATCTCTCGCCCAATCAGGAAGCGGCATGTTCTGATTGTGGACCATGTCGAGATCGTCCACGTCGACGAGATCGTCGGATGACGCGGCGCGGAGGATGCGCCGACGTGGCAGGCTCGGCGCGTCCGGCCAGTCGTCCATTCCCGGGAAGGCCTCCCCCGACGATGCGCCGTCGCCGTGACCAGCGCCGGATCGTGCGGCGGCGGAGTCGGTTCCGCGGAGGGATCGGTTATGCCTGTGGAAGGGGAGGGAGGGGGCAGGGGCGGTATGACCGAGGGAGGGAAAGGAGGGTAATGAGGAGCGCGGTTGTTAAAGATGAGCGATGAGAGAGAGCAGTACGTGTATTCTGTGTCGACTTCTAAGACACCTGAGCACGGGGAGAATGACAGATGCATGCGCTGGAGATGACAGAAAACGACTCGCCTGAAGCGACAATCCCTAGGGAGATAGACACGTAGGAGAAATAAATGCTTAGGATGAATAAATACCTTGGGAGTGTCGACGGCAGCACGAAGGCATGCACGGTGAGGTAGATGGTGAGCGCGATGGCGAAGTTGGGAATGAACTCCGCCACGCGCTTCCCCATCCGCCCGTTCGCCCACTGCTGGAACGAATCCGCCGCGCATTGGTAACCCGAACTCGCCCGTTTCGCACCGATGGAACCGCCGCTTGCGGAAACACCAGGAGGGGTTCCTGTGCTTCTGAGACTGGTTGCGGCACCGGCAGACAAGCTAGTGGCGACTCGAGTTGGAGAATAGAGTGGCTGAGTGAGCGGTAGTTGATTAGGAGAGATTAAAGCCTTCGACAGAGTCCCGGGCAAAGGTTCGACGTTGGTGGAAATTCGTGGCTGCGTGCGAACCCGCCTAAGCTCAAACTCGGGTAGGCAGCGCGGGGAGACGTTAAGAGAAGACTGACGCGGGCTGGATGACATGGTTTGTTCCAGACATGACGTGGCTTGGGCTTGAACCAGCGTGCCAGGAATGGGCTGCGATTCGTGCGTGGGCTCTTCGTTTCTTTGGTCGCCTGACAGGTTGTTGAGAGAACTTGACCGTGCGAGGGAAGCCTCTTGCGGAGGTGGAGGAGCGCGCGCTAACAGTTGAATGTCATCCATGTTTGCTTACGCCACTGGGCAACGAGTGTTCTCCTCAAACACAAGCCCTACTGAAGTTCGAGGACGGTGACAGGCGAGTCAGCTCTTCGAGGGTGGTACAGCGAGGAGCAGAGAGAGGCGGAGAAAGAGAGTAAAGAGTTCAAGTGGAAGGTGATGGAGACGAGGTTATTTGTACCGAGGGCGGTTCCAGGAGTTCACGTTTTGTTCAATTCGAGCGGTTGAGTACGATAGTTTGCAATCTGAAGCCGTTTAATGGTTTCACCACACTGATGTGAACCAACCTGAGGATTTGTGGATGAACTGGGAACGAACTTTTGGGACCCTCCCTGAGGAGGCGTGATGGTAGTGGGGCGGTGTTGTGGACTTTTCGAATTCTCGCCCACCCGGACCCAACTAAAACTTGTCATAACGTACACCACCACGTAAGGTTCAGTATCGTCAATCGAACTTGTCCATCCAGATCTAGTTACAGTACGTCACGACACGAACGACCTTCGTGAAGAAAGGTTTGGCAGTTTGTGGACTGTATTCTTCGCAACCACCCTTGTCAAGATCGGGACCTGGTGTTATGGGCCATTGCAATATCGCAGCCGTTGAACTCGTTTGACGTTCTGTTCATTGGTTCGGATCTGGGGTTCTCCTTGACCTCCTCCTGCCATCTCATCTCATCTCACCTTCGCCATCCCGCAGATTGGAATTCTCATCACTACAGAACGTTGCCTGTACAGCTAGACCAAAGCAATGCAGTGTGCAGAGCAGTACGGACTAGAGTCGGTTTGGGAAAAGTGCGCGATTTCCCCTCCCAGCTCCGCTTCCCCCTTCTCGCCAAGGCGCAAGTGCAGTGTGTGTTTTGTTGTTGTCAGCCGACCGCGAGCCAAGAGGTGATTGGACAGCGGAGGTTTGAGCGTCAAGGATGCGCCAGCTGCTATGTGAATCCTTGATATAAGGTCACGCGCTTAATTGAGATACTGCATTCGTGGTTTCCCCTATTCAGTTTTTCATATGACACTGTTACGGGTGCAATGAATCTAAGTAGCGAGGATTGCACTTAGGTGTCAAACGGGTACGAAATGTGAGCCAGAGCATGAGCGAACATTTATACGCGAAACATGCAAATGGTAACGCGGTGCGTGCGAGCTAGCTAGTGCTACGCTGGCAGCGAGGCTCGGGCTAGTCCCGAAGCGTAGGCCGACACGGCCGGGCCAGCAGTGCGAGGTTTGGTGAAACAGTGCGCGCTAAGTCGACGAAGCCCCGTTAGCAGTAACAGGCGAACAACGGCTGCTGTTGTACGCGATGTTGCAGGGTGTTATGAGTTGTACTAAGAAGAGTGCGCGGAAGACTTATAAAAAGGATGTCGAATACAGAATTTCGTTAATGATAAAGAAGCAAGCATTTATAGGGTCGAAACCGTGCTAGGCGAGGACCTCGGGACGTGGATGGGTTGGAAGTGTCGTGATTGGTGCGGAGCGACTCGTCGGTGGTTCGGTCCGAAGTGTATGCCGAACCTCGAAACTGACGCGAAGTGCTCGGGGTTGTCCTCGCTAGGAACAGCCTCTACAGTAATGAATTCATATTCATTACACTCTCCCACCTTCTAAATAAGGTGCCCTTATACGAAGCCAAGTCTTGCAGTAGCGTGAAAACTGCAGATCTCGGTCGAAAACCGATCCGACGGTGCGGAAGCATATTGACTTTCGAGTTGACGCGTGGCTGAGCGCGTTGACCAGACGAATTTCAAAGAGTTGGGATGTCAGCCATTGATACTGACGATGTCAATCGGGCGGTTGAAAGCGAATGTCGATCTCAAATCGTTCGACGAGGAAGACCGTCGATGTCGCGGATGTGTATCGGATGGTTCTGGTGAATGTCATGTCGGCGGGAAGTCTAACGCGTTGTCAGAGATCGATGAATCTGGTGCCGTCGATGTCGATGAGGCCATCGCGTGCGTCCATCGTGCTGGGTGTGTCAGACGAACTGTCAGCAATAACTGCCGAAATGTCAGAGACCTGCCAAGAACAGTGCGTGAGCACTCTTTCTCCACCCCCTAGGAACTGCTGCCCACCAAAATGTGCACAGCCGCGCGGGCACAAAACCTAAACCACACTGACGCAGAATACCAAGTGTTATGACCTAGCCGCCTGAAATCCAGCCGCTGAGCAGTCGAAATTGCTGTCGGTGGCGAAATCTCACTGTCGAAAACCCCGAAAATGCCAAGGGTAAATTCTGTTGAAGTCCCTTCGAAATAATATCGTTTTTGCAGGAACTCGGCATGAAGAATTTCTTCGTGTTGTCTTGTTGGTACGACTGTTGTTGCAGCATCTCTCGTGACTGCCACCTTGAAAACCCCCGCGTGGCAGTATCGAATCACTTGTCTGCTGCCCGATCTCCAGTTGGCAGCTGCTGCAATCCTGAAATCGCTGCCGTTTGTCTTGTTTGCAGGCGAAAATCCTCGCTGTAGCTTCTCCAACTGTCGGTGCCCCCGGCAGTCTTGTCCAGGCTCGCCGAGGCCCTTGTCGCGTTGCTCCGAAAACTCCCGGTTAGGGACGAAAACAGCTGCTGCTCTTCCCCCTGACCTCGCCAATATTTTTTCAAACACGAACTTGAACTACAGATGACGTCAGCTGCATTATCGGTGTTGTCGTGACTCGCCGAAAACCTCCGGGCAGGGGCGAAAACAGCTGTCGCCTTCTCCCCCCACCTGTTGCAAATTTTCCCCTCGTGTTGCGGCTGGTACCCCCGAGCAGCTTCCGATTTGAACGGCTACACACTTTGACGACGAATGCCTTCGCGCGCTTAATCAAGCAACGCTGACTCCGTTAAAAATTATTTTTGGAACTGCTCGTTGCACCCGTAAATGTCGGAAATTTCCACACCACGTAAAGTCTTGGTCGCCTGCAGGTTGCCCCCTGAAAGAACTGGTGTGTCTAGCGTGCCCACCCGTCGCCATTTTTCTCTCCATGGTTAACCACACTAGCAACCCACCAACATGAGGTGCTCTTTCGTGCGGAGCCCGGAGTCATGGGTCTACCGGGACCGAATTTCACGGAACCTAGCCCGCATCAACGCCGCAGATCTTGCCGTAGAAGTTCCCCAGCTGGCTTTGAAGTACACCGTAAACCGCTGAAACAGCTGGCGAGCAGACGTTCACCCGTCTCCCACCGTTGGAATAAAACCCCGAAAATCATGATTGTTGAAGCAGTCCCGAAGTATTTTCCGCCGCATAACCCTGACGTTTCCGCCGTTGACCTTGGTACTCCGACGTTCACCCGTCTTCGTACCCGTCGAAATTACTTAGCGAATCCCAGGTATCCTTGGCGATACACCGCTCGCCGCGCCTCCATGTCACAATATCAAACCCTTTCGGGGGTCTACCGAATAGACTCCGAAATTCGCGGTGGATTGGTGTACGAGCTCAACCTTTCACTCTGGAGATCTGCTGGAGCACCCACAAATTTCCCTCCATTTGTTTGTTTGTCTTTACCCCCCGAAAATTCCGCTTGCCGCCGTTCACCCAGCGTCCGCTTTTGTCGGATGAGGTTTAACTCCGTGTTGCCCGCGATTTTTCTGACATTCGGTGAAGGCACGAATGGTATCGTAACCGGGTCATGTTTATCGGATCAAACAGTCGGACCGGCCGCTTCGTTGCCCACCGCGTCTATCGCGTTTGAACTCCACAGCTTCGGAAAAGCCCCTTCTTCGCCGCTACACCATGTCGGGTAGACCGTTGAATTAGGAGAAACTCCGACAGCTGCACCAACTGCTTCAGCTCCGACTTTTTCGGCGGGGTAACTGCTGCCGATGGTCCGGTTTTGTCGGGGCCGAAACAGTGTCGCTCCCAGAAATTTTCTTGTACGCCCTGCCGTCGATCCAGCGTCACCCGCGCCTTTCTAACCAGCACAGGGCTAAATACAGGGCCCCACCTTTGGATCCAGTGGCCAATAGGACTTACACTTTGCCTTTGAGGCTTTCTGGGCGTGAGGTATGCGAAACGTCTGTAGACTTTGGCCGGTAGGGAGCTCCTTCTGCTACCGCCGCTTAGCCGCAAACTCGGCCCTCAGTAAAAAGTTGTCGCAGTAGGTCGTTTTCGCCCCTCCTGAAGCTCGAAATCCGTTTCTCTCGCCAGACCCGTATTTGTCGCAACTCCGTTTATTGTAGCCGGTAGACCAGGCGAAATTCGCGGGTCTAGACGCTGCGACAAATCGTTGTCCTCGTCGGTGTACTGCCCCGTCTGCGACACGACTTCCCTTGATCAGGGGGAATCTTTGCCGCCTGAAGTACAGTGTCGGCTGCTGCTGTTGCTCCGAAGATTTCGGCCGACTTTGTTGCAGGCGCAGAAGTGACCCTAACGAAAACAGTCTAGTCGTAGGCGGCCTTTTCTGAACTTTTCGGCGGTTTGAAAATAACTTCCGTCCCACACTGTGCCGCTCCTGCCGAAAACGCCAACGACGCACCCTCCTGTGGCCACACCGGCCACACCCGGGCTGGACGACGGTAGACCCCCGCTTTCTTCGGGTAGTTGTCACGCCGTTACTCCGCGCCGCTGCATTTTCTGACGCAAATCACCATGCGCCTGGCTGCTCGCACAGCAGTCGTTTTCCACGTGCTGCTACCCGAAATCTTTGCGCACAGTGACCACGATCGTCACTTGCCGAAGACCTCCAACGGACTGATGTGCGATGTAACGAAGATGCTCGACGCCATGTGCTTGCATGCAATCCGTTCCGAAATTGTCGCGCGCAGCTGTCGACCACATGCCGACGCAACTCGCACGACGATCTTGCTTTCGACATCTTCGGACGTGCACTGACGGAGATCCTGTCGACGTCAGCTGCCACACAAATTAACTCCGAAAATGCCGAAACGAATACTGTTAACTCACGCATTAACTGCGACGACAGCAAAAGCTGTCCGCCACCCGGGGGGAGGGAGGCCACGATCCATCTCGACCGTCGAGGGCAAGGATTCGTCGGTGCAGCAGGAGCGCCCGTAAAAACATGGCCGCTAGGAGCAACTATCCGTTCTCCTGGCCGGCTACTGCGCTGCTCCTGTCACCACGGCATCCTTCCCTGTCCCCCCCCCCGAGGGGTAATACACTCTAAACAACGGGGAACCTAGGAACTTAGGCTCTGATACCAGGTGTTATGAGTTGTACTAAGAAGAGTGCGCGGAAGACTTTATAAAAAGGATGTCGAATACAAAATGTCGAGTATGATAAAGAAGCAAGCATTTATAGGGTCGAAACCGTGCTAGGCGAGGACCTCGGGACGTGGATGGGTTGGAAGTGTCGCGATTGGTGCGGAGCGACTCGTCGGTGGTTCGGTCCGAAGTGTAGGCCGAACCTCGAAACTGACGCGAAGTGCTCGGGGTTGTCCTCGCTAGGAACAGCCTTTACAGTAATGAATTCATATTCATTACACAGGGCGCGCTAAGGAATATGAGAAAATTCCTTAAAGACACTGCTTTACCTGAATTTGAAGTTCCTTCCAGTTGATTTCGCGAGTACCTTTTCAAGTTCCCGCTTCTATCGGGAGAAAAACTGACCGACCCCAGCCTAAACTCGCCCTTTCTGTGATCGGACGTGGTTGGGTGGCGACGTCTGCTCCACAGAGCCCAGCACCACTGCGAGGTGTGAGGTGGGTTGTGCGACGCATTCTTCCCAATATTTGAGACGACTCTTTGGAAAACCTGGCTACACTTAAAAATGGAGAGCCTAGCATGTGATTTTTCAGTTCATACTGCAGGGCGATGGTTTTTGTTAGTTGGGAAAGCCAAGAATCCAGAAACGAAAACCCATCTGTAATGTTGTTGCTTGCACACGCCCCAACTACCCACACCGCCCAAGCGCTTCGGTTCTGCGAGTGACATGCGCGCTTCGTGTTGATATTCTGGTCCGGGTCAATCACACTTCAGTCAGCCCCGCCCAGCCCACCCTTCTCACTCTTCACCCTCTGCAGCAACCCTTTTCCTGAAGCTCCAACCTTTTTCCCACTTCTCCACTCATCCTCCACAGCCCACACCCAACACATAGGAAGTTAGAAACACGCTCCGCCTCAGTGACTTTGTCACACACGGCCAGCACTCGGCTTCACACGCGTCGCTCTCCTTGCGATTCAATATCTATTTCTTACGGGATTCACGTCTGCTTACGTAGTCTCTGCTTGCCAAGAGCACATCTCAATTCGCGTTTTGCTTCATCCACGTCGACGAGTAGCATGTCGTTATGTGTCGTCAGACTGCTCGCTGTGCTCAGTATTGCCTTAGCCGCTACGTGCGCAGCTGCGCAGACGATTGACTCTTCACAACGTACGAACGGGCATCAGAAAAAGAGTTTGAGTTTTTGCTGTTGCTGCTTTGGAGGCAAAAGCCGCATTCCACTTCTCAGACCTAACGCGACAGTCGAGTTAGTTAGTGCTATCTTTCGTTTTCACTATAAGTGCGCTAATAGGTCTTACAATTCCTGCAGTATCGACCCGTGCGTGGCCTCGATCCACGTCTACCTCGCTTTCGCTCCCTGCTCCCATGGCTTTTGAGCTGACTCAGATGTTACCACTTTTTTTCGCGAACCCTGCGCCCTACCTCTACGTGTCTTTCGCCAGTTCCCGCGTTGGCGGACCTGCAGGCGGCTTTTGGGCTTAATTACTCCTCGTGGGGGGAAGGCGGAGATTGCTACAAGGCGAGCTTTCTGCGATGCGACAGCGACGGCATGATAACAGAAATGTGAGTCTGCTTGAAACGAGGGATGAAAATTCAGCTGAGGTGAACCACCGTCGCTCTCCGCTTGGATCCATCTTGGTTGCAAAACCAATCGTACTCCGCCTCTCCACTGTCGCCTCTCCGCCGTCGCCTCTCCACCGTCGCTCTCCGCTTGGATCCATCTTGGTTGCAAAACCAATCGTACTCCGCCTCTCCACTGTCGCCTCTCCGCCGTCGCCTCTCCACCGTCGCTCTCCGCTTGGATCCATCTTGGTTGCAAAACCAATCGTACTCCGCCTCTCCACTGTCGCCTCTCCGCCGTCGCCTCTCCACCGTCGCTCTCCGCTTGGATCCATCTTGGTTGCAAAACCAATCGTACTCCGCCTCTCCACTGTCGCCTCTCCGCCGTCGCCTCTCCACCGTCGCTCTCCGCTTGGATCCATCTTGGTTGCAAAACCAATCGTACTCCGCCTCTCCACTGTCGCCTCTCCGCCGTCGCCTCTCCACCGTCGCTCTCCGCTTGGATCCATCTTGGTTGCAAAACCAATCGTACTCCGCCTCTCCACTGTCGCCTCTCCGCCGTCGCCTCTCCACCGTCGCTCTCCGCTTGGATCCATCTTGGTTGCAAAACCAATCGTACTCCGCCTCTCCACTGTCGCCTCTCCGCCGTCGCCTCTCCACCGTCGCTCTCCGCTTGGATCCCCCTTGCGTGACCACTCGTGAACAAGAGGGGTCACGCCATTGATTGCAGAACCATTCGTACTCCGCCTCTCACCCCATCCGAACATTCGGTCATTGAAACGCATCAATAATCGACCTTTCGGTTTCAACGTTCCTCTTTCTCCTCGTCGATGCTGTCTCGATTTTCCTGTTTTTGAGTCGACTAGAAAACAGTCGGTCATTGAAACGTGTCAATAATTAATATTTTTGTTTCAACGTTCCACTTTCTCCTCATCGATGTTGTCTCGATTTTCCTTCCCCCCCAGCAATCTGGGAGCGAGCGGCCTTCTCGGCTCTCTTCCTGAAACTATCAGCGGACTAGTGAATCTCACCAGCATGTGAGTGGGCCGCGGATGTGATTTCTACGAATGTGAATATTCTCAATGTGACAGTGAGTCTAATTTCGGATCCATTCAACTCACCTTCTCGGATCTCTGCCTGAGTCCATCAGTGGACTAGTGAATCTCACCAGCATGTGAGTGTACCAATGCTTATGCCATCTGAATTTAGCGTGTGATGCGAGTCTGGGCGTATGACTTTCATCTACAAGCTTCGCTTCACAATTCGCGTCGCTCTTGTGCTCTCCTAATTCAATTGAACCTCATACGTGAGCCCAGTCGGACTTCACCCTTTTCCAACCTCCCCCTGCCATCCATTTTCTTTTCCCCCACCCCCCCCACCCCCCTCCCCCCCCCCCCCCCAACTCCCCCCCTCCCTCTCCCCACTACCTTTGTGGGCGGAGCAGTGATCTGAGCGCCAACGGGCTGACAGGGCCGATTCCTTCCACTATAGGCGCACTCGCTAAGCTGAAACGGATGTGAGTGATCCTTGCACAGGAAACGCATTCGCTATAAACAGCCCCCAATCTCTGAGATGCACGGGATGTGATGCGAGGGATCTTTCGGCCACAGCCTCGCTCCCGCACCTCCCGACGACCCACATCCCCCACCATGTCCGCCCACATCCCCCACCATGTCCGCCCACATCCTCCACCATGTCCGCCCACATCCCCCACGGCAGGCAGCTGGACAACCTCCCAGTTTCCTCCCCAGGTTCCCGCTGCCCCCCTCATCTCATCTCATCCCCACATCCCCGTCCGCCCACATCCCTGTCCGCCCACATCCCCGTCCGCCCACATCCCTGTCCGCCCACATCCCTGTCCGCCCACATCCCCCGTGGCAGGCAGCTGGACAAGAACACGCTCGAGGGCAACCTCCCCGTGTCCCTGGGCGACCCCCTTTGTTTCTCTCTTTCCCCCCCGTCTCACCTCTTCCTCCTGTTTCACCCACCCCCCCCCCGCCGCCCTGCGCTCCTGGCAGGCAGCTGGACAAGAACACGTTCGAGGGCAACCTCCCCGTGTCCCTGGGCGACCCCCTTTGTTTCCCTCTTTCCCCCCCGTCTCACCTCTTCCTCCTGTTTCACCCACCCCCCCCCCCGCCGCCCTGCGCTCCTGGCAGGCAGCTGGACAAGAACACGTTCGAGGGCAACCTCCCCGTGTCCCTGGGCGACCCCCTTTGTTTCCCTCTTTCCCCCCCGTCTCACCTCTTCCTCCTGTTTCACCCACCCCCCCCCCGCCGCCCTGCGCTCCTGGCAGGCAGCTGGACAAGAACACGTTCGAGGGCAACCTCCCCGTGTCCCTGGGCGACCCCCTTTGTTTCCCTCTTTCCCCCCCGTCTCACCTCTTCCTCCTGTTTCACCCACCCCCCCCCCGCCGCCCTGCGCTCCTGGCAGGCAGCTGGACAAGAACACGTTCGAGGGCAACCTCCCCGTGTCCCTGGGCGACCCCCTTTGTTTCCCTCTTTCCCCCCCGTCTCACCTCTTCCTCCTGTTTCACCCACCCCCCCCCGCCGCCCTGCGCTCCTGGCAGGCAGCTGGACAAGAACACGTTCGAGGGCAACCTCCCCGTGTCCCTGGGCGACCCCCTTTGTTTCCCTCTTTCCCCCCCGTCTCACCTCTTCCTCCTGTTTCACCCACCCCCCCCCGCCGCCCTGCGCTCCTGGCAGGCAGCTGGACAAGAACACGTTCGAGGGCAACCTCCCCGTGTCCCTGGGCGACCCCCTTTGTTTCCCTCTTTCCCCCCCGTCTCACCTCTTCCTCCTGTTTCACCCACCCCCCCCCCCCGCCGCCCTGCGCTCCTGGCAGGCAGCTGGACAAGAACACGTTCGAGGGCAACCTCCCCGTGTCCCTGGGCGACCCCCTTTGTTTCCCTCTTTCCCCCCCGTCTCACCTCTTCCTCCTGTTTCACCCACCCCCCCCCCGCCGCCCTGCGCTCCTGGCAGGCAGCTGGACAAGAACACGTTCGAGGGCAACCTCCCCGTGTCCCTGGGCGACCCCCTTTGTTTCCCTCTTTCCCCCCCGTCTCACCTCTTCCTCCTGTTTCACCCACCCCCCCCCCGCCGCCCTGCGCTCCTGGCAGGCAGCTGGACAAGAACACGTTCGAGGGCAACCTCCCCGTGTCCCTGGGCGACCCCCTTTGTTTCCCTCTTTCCCCCCCGTCTCACCTCTTCCTCCTGTTTCACCCACCCCCCCCCCCCCGCCGCCCTGCGCTCCTGGCAGGCAGCTGGACAAGAACACGTTCGAGGGCAACCTCCCCGTGTCCCTGGGCGACCCCCTTTGTTTCCCTCTTTCCCCCCCGTCTCACCTCTTCCTCCTGTTTCACCCACCCCCCCCCCGCCGCCCTGCGCTCCTGGCAGGCAGCTGGACAAGAACACGTTCGAGGGCAACCTCCCCGTGTCCCTGGGCGACCCCCTTTGTTTCCCTCTTTCCCCCCCGTCTCACCTCTTCCTCCTGTTTCACCCACCCCCCCCCCCCGCCGCCCTGCGCTCCTGGCAGGCAGCTGGACAAGAACACGTTCGAGGGCAACCTCCCCGTGTCCCTGGGCGACCCCCTTTGTTTCCCTCTTTCCCCCCCGTCTCACCTCTTCCTCCTGTTTCACCCACCCCCCCCCCGCCGCCCTGCGCTCCTGGCAGGCAGCTGGACAAGAACACGTTCGAGGGCAACCTCCCCGTGTCCCTGGGCGACCCCCTTTGTTTCCCTCTTTCCCCCCCGTCTCACCTCTTCCTCCTGTTTCACCCACCCCCCCCCGCCGCCCTGCGCTCCTGGCAGGCAGCTGGACAAGAACACGTTCGAGGGCAACCTCCCCGTGTCCCTGGGCGACCCCCTTTGTTTCCCTCTTTCCCCCCCGTCTCACCTCTTCCTCCTGTTTCACCCACCCCCCCCCCGCCGCCCTGCGCTCCTGGCAGGCAGCTGGACAAGAACACGTTCGAGGGCAACCTCCCCGTGTCCCTGGGCGACCCCCTTTGTTTCCCTCTTTCCCCCCCGTCTCACCTCTTCCTCCTGTTTCACCCACCCCCCCCCCCGCCGCCCTGCGCTCCTGGCAGGCAGCTGGACAAGAACACGTTCGAGGGCAACCTCCCCGTGTCCCTGGGCGACCCCCTTTGTTTCCCTCTTTCCCCCCCGTCTCACCTCTTCCTCCTGTTTCACCCACCCCCCCCCCCCCCGCCGCCCTGCGCTCCTGGCAGGCAGCTGGACAAGAACACGTTCGAGGGCAACCTCCCCGTGTCCCTGGGCGACCCCCTTTGTTTCCCTCTTTCCCCCCCGTCTCACCTCTTCCTCCTGTTTCACCCACCCCCCCCCCCCGCCGCCCTGCGCTCCTGGCAGGCAGCTGGACAAGAACACGTTCGAGGGCAACCTCCCCGTGTCCGTGGGCAGGCTCACAAATCTCACGTCCCTGTGAGTGCATCCAGCGGGCAACCTCCCTGTACCCCTGGGCTGCTGATTTCGTCCTACCCTGATCGCCCGCCTGCTGCTCTCTTCCTTCCCTTCCTGTTCCTTCTCTCCCCAACCCCAGCCTTCGTTGTTCCCTAAACCTTCAACCCTATCCACCTCTGCATCATCCTGCTGTTGCTCCTTCATGTGATAATAGGGGTGTTTTGAGACGCCTCAAACAACCCTGTGATAAAAAAAGCCTGTTCGCTTAACCTCCAACCCTCTCCTCCTGCTGTTAGCTCCCCATGCCTCCCGTACAGCACTGCAGGGACCTGGCAGCCAATCAATTTACAGGATCTTTACCCGCGGAACTGAACAACCTCGTCAACCTGCAGCAGAGTTCTGAAACGCCTCAAAGCTCAACCCTCCTGATCGCTCCTGATCGCTCCTGATCGCTCCTGATCGCTCCTGATCGCTCCTGATCGCTCCTGCTCCCCCTGCTCCCCCTGCTCCCCCTCCTCCCCCTGCTCCCCCTGCTCCCCCTGCTCCCCCTGCTCCCCCTGCTCTCCCTGCTCCCTTCTGCTCCCTTCTGCTCCTCCTGCCGTTTCGTGCCTCCTGTGCCTTTGCAGGGATCTGGCAGCCAATCACTTCACTGGATCTATACCTGCCGAACTGGGCAACCTCATCAACCTGCAGTACCTGTAATGCACCGCACCTCTCCCCTCTCCACCGCTCTCCACCCCTCTCCACCACACCCAACGTCCACCAAGCGTCTTCTCCAACTCATCCGAATCCTCCTTCGAAGCAAGTTTGGCATTTAAAAGAACCAAACTTCACGTTGATTTAACCATACCATACCATAATCACCCATAACATACCATCATCACCCATCCCATAACATACCATCATCACCCATACCATACCATCATCACCCATAACATACCATCATCACCCATAACATACCATCATCACCCATAACATACCATCATCACCCATAACATACCATCATCACCCATAACATACCATCATCACCCATACCATACCATCATCACCCATCCCACACTACCATCGCCCATCCCACACTACCATCGCCCATCCCACACTACCATCGCCCATCCCACACTACCATCGCCCATCGCACACTACCATCGCCCATCCCACACTCCCATCGCCCATCGCACACTACCATCGCCCATCCCACACTCCCATCGCCCATCCCACACTCCCATCGCCCATCCCACACTACCATCGCCCATCGCACACTACCATCGCCCATCCCACACTCCCATCGCCCATCCCACACTACCATCGCCCATCCCACACTCCCATCACACATACCAATTCTGTATCACCCGCATCATCATCACCAGGCAGCTGAATGACAACTATCTCACAGGTTCCTTTCCAGCCTCTTTCTCGCAGCTGCTTTTGTGCCCCTCGCTTTCACCCATCGTCTTCCATCTCCTCGCACCTCCCACCTTCCTTGACTCCCTGCCCCACCCCATCCCCACCCACAGGCAGCTGAACGACAACTATCTCACAGGCTCCATTCCGGCCTCTTTCTCCCGGCTTCTCCGTGTTCCCCACGCTTTTGATTCGATTCAACAGTTCCACCTCCCTGCATGTCCCACCTTCTTTGACTCTCCACCCCCCACCACCCCTCCCCACAGGCAGCTGAAAGACAACTACTCACGGGCTCCATCGCAGCTTCTTCCATCCCAGCTGAACTCATCAGTTCCACCTCCCCGCATTTCACACCACCTTCCTGCAATCCCCTGCCTGCCCTGCATGGCCCACAGGCAACTGAACGACAACTATCTCACGGGCTCCATCCCAGCCTCCTTCTCTCAACTCGACCAACTGCAATGGCTGTGAGTGCGCGACGGATGTGATTGCAGTGAGATGTGCATGAAACGAGGTGGATCCAGTGGGATTCAGAGAGGGTTGTTTTCTCAAAAGGAACTTCCCTCCCAACCTCCTCCTCCTCCTCCTCCTCCTCCTCCTCCTCCTCCTCCTCCTCCTCCTCCTCCTCCTCCTCCTCCTCCTCCTCCTCCTCCTCCTCCTCCTCCTCCTCCTCCTCCTCTCCCAGTCAGTGCAAAAGGGCTGTGAGTGCAGGAAGGCCATGCAATAAGGTGACATTTTGAGTCGACTCAAAAGTCTCCCTTTCCCTGCCCCCTCCATTTCTCCCCCTGCCAACATGGGACCAATGCTGTTATACATCCCTCGTTCCACTCTCTTTCCCGCCTCCCCCTCCCTCCAGGCAACTGGGCAACAACCAGCTCTCGGGGCAACTGCCTGGTGGTACTCCAGTGGACTTCTGTGTTTCCTTTTTCCCTCCTCACCCCTCATCCTTGCACCCTAAAACCTCTCCCCTCCCTCCAGGCAACTGGGCAACAACCAGCTCTCGGGCCCGCTGCCTGCTGGATTCGTCGCCTTCCCCAGTCTCACTGGCCTGTGAGTGACGCCACCACGCTGCACCGCGCCGTGCCGTGCCATGGGGTGATTGTCGAATCGACTAATCTACCCCTTCCCCCGCCTCACCGGCTTGTGAGTGATGCTGCCATGCCATACAATGCCATGCCATGCCGTGCTGTGCCATGCCATGCGATGCCGTGCTGTGCCATGCCATGCCAATCCGTGCTGTGCCATGCCATGTCTGCAGATTTATACACGTCCCCTCTAACTATCCTGAATCCTTGCCTCTCCCCTCATCATCACCCCCCTTGTCATTCACCCCGTGTCATCCCCCTCCCCCTTTCCCCCATACTCCCCACCTGGGTGGACATGCAACACACGTGCACGCCAGACAACACCGGCTGTGGTCAGACTCGTCCCTTCAACAGCGAATACCTTCTGCCTGCAGATTTGGAACTCTCTCTATAACCACCTTTTTCCTTCCCCCGCAGCTGGATTGACATGCAGCACACATGCCCGCCGGACAACACCGGCTGTGGTCAGACCGACCACAACACCTTCTGCCTGCAGACGTGAAACTCTCTCTCTCTCTCTCTCTCTCTCTCTCTCTCTCTCTCTCTCTCTCTCTCTCTCTCTCTCTCTCTCTCTCTCTCTCTCTCTCTCTAACCACCTTCCTCCTTGCCACTACACCCACCATTGTCATTCTCTCCCGTGTCATGCCCTCCCGTGCCCCCCCAGTTGGATTGACATGCAGCACACGTGCCCGCCGGACAACACCGGCTGTGGGCAGACCCGCCCCTTCCGCAACAACACCTTCTGCCTGCAGACCTGCCCTTCCTTCTGTGACACATGCATTCCCAGGAAGCTTCCCACCCCTCCTCCCAACACCACCACCACCATTGGCACCAGTACTGGTGCTCGTGTGAACGCAACTGGCGCTCCTGTTGCTCTGCCTCCTCCTTCCGCTCCTGCGGCAGCTTCTACACCTAAGGGGGCATCGGGTGATACTATCAGATCCAGCAGCAGCTTAGTGCTCTTGTTAGCTCTTGTCCTACTGGCGCTCCTGTGAACGGGACTGGCGCTCTTGTTGCTTTGCCCCCGCCGGTCTCTCCTGCGGTTCCTTCTCCAACCAAGGGGGCATCGAGTGACAGTGTTAGCAGTAGCAGCCTAGCAGCCTATGGGTTAGCTCTTGTCCTACTGGCGCTCCTGTGAATGGGACTGGCGCTCTTGTTACTTTGCCCCCGCCGGTCTCTCCTGCGGTTCCTTCTCCAACCAAGGGGGCATTGAGTGACAGTGTCAACAGTAGCAGCTTACTGCTCAGGTTAGCTCTTGTCCTACTGGCGCTCCTGTGAACGCTACGGGAGCTCCTGTTGTTCGGCCTCCTTCCTCTCCTGTGGTAGCTTCTACACCTATTAGATGCAGGATTAGCTTAGTGCTCGGGTTTGCTCTAGTCCTACTGGCGCTGCTGTGAAACCGACTGGTGCCCCTGTTGTTGCTCGGCCTCCTGCCTCTCTTGCGGTTGCTCCTCCTGAAGGGGCAATGAGTGACGGTGTTCACGGCAGCAACTGAGTGGTCAGATTTGTTCTTGTGCTTGCTGTTCCAGTCATGGCAGCGGGGTTTCAACTAGCAAGTGAAACGTGCATGGAACAGTTGAGAGACAGGCACCTTGTACCATTGCCCCATCCACCATCTCATCTTGCCTCTTGGGACGCCTGTGTTTTAGGTCATATGTGGCAGATGTTGTATTACAAGCAAGGAACATATCATAGTCTCAAAACTAGATCATGTGGTCCAATCGCAGCATCAGTACAGACTATCAAGTATACAACCGTAGCAATGCAGCAACACAGCAAGCGCTTCTTATACAGCAAGCTCTAGGTAGGGTTCAAGTCCAGAAGGCAACTCACTCAGCCAGCCAGACCAAATCCACTACCATGCGTACCGGTACGTGCGTCCTATCTTTTCACAACCTCTCGCCAGCAGCTTGGGCAAAGATTGCCTCCTTTTGAAGGCAGCTGACTGACACCTTCTGTAACAATTGCCGACAACGTATCAAAAGATTGCCTGCTTGCTTACACAGGCATCATGTCTGTCACATGCATTGTTCCTTGATCGAGCGGCTTCAGCAGCTAACCAGGCGACAAAGAGACTAGGCAAGGCAGCGTTTATCAGTCCAGCAATTTAGCCACCACACCAGCACCCACGGTGCGACCGCCCTCCCTCAGAGCAAAGCGCTGGCCTGCAGGGGAGAGGGCATAAGGTGAGGGGAGAGAGCACAGGTGTGAGCGTGCGTGCGCGCGCGCGTGTGTGCGTGTGGGCATGTGTGCGTTTGTGTGTGGCTGTGTGGCTGCTCTCGCATAGATCACTGATGAGTTGAAAGAATGGCTGCAAAGCTCTGCCAGCACACGCTGCTGCAGGGTGTTTTTGAGAATTCTAACAAACACCCTGCAGCATCATGGCTGCAAAGCTCTGCCAGCACACCAGCGTCTACGGTGTGACCACCCTCCCTCAAAGCAAAGCGCTGGCCTGCAGGGGGGAGGGGGTTGGAGGAGTGGCAGTGCATGCGTCCGTGCGAGCGAGCGTGTGCGCGTGCGTGTGTGCGCGTGCGTGTGTGTGTGCGCGCGCGCGTGTGTGTGCGCGCGTGCGTGTGTGCGCGCGCGAGCGCGTGTTTTTTGAGAATTCTCAAAAAACACTCGCTGCAGGGGGCAGGGGGTTGGAGGAGTGGCAGCACATGCGTCCGTGCGAGCGTGCGTGCGTGCGAGCGTGCGTGTGCGCGTGTGTGCGCGCGCCCGCCCGCGAATGAGTGAGTGCTGGGTCAAGAAAGCTACAACACGTAGACATACCTGCTCCAGCACCAACCTGAGACACAGGGAGACAGACGAGGACAGAGAACAAGACAGAGAGAGACAGGGAGACAGACGAGGACAGAGAACAAGACAGAGAGAGACAGGGAGACAGACGAGGCAGAAAAGACCCGCCTGCTTCGATCGCAACCGGCGACACCAGCTCAAACGTGGCAGTGACATTGTCCCCCGGCATGACCATCCTGACCTCGTCTGGCAGAACCACCTTGTTCGTCACATCAGCGGTGCGCAGGTAGCACTGCCAGGCCCCCTCATGCCCCGAGCGACTCGCACCCACCCACACCAAAAGACCGAGAGCGCAACAGAGACAGAGACAGAGGGGGGCAGAGGGAGGCAGAAGGGGCAGACGAGACACACCTGCTTCGATCGCAACTGGAGACAGCAGCTCAAACGTGGCAGTGACGTTATCCCCCGGCATGACCATCTTGACTTCGTCTGGCAGCACCACCTTGCCTGTCACATCAGCGGTGCGCAGGTAGCACTGCGGGCGGTAGTTGGAGAAGAAGGCCGTGTGGCGCCCGCCCTCCTCCTTGGTGAGCACGTAGATCTCTGCCTGGAACTTCTGAGACGTCTTGATTGAGCCGGGCTTGCATGCTACTTGACCTCGCTGCACATCCTCTCTCTTGAGCCCTCGCATCAACAGCCCCACATTGTCTCCGGCCTGAGGCAGGGACGGGCAGAAGGGGTGGAAGGGGTGGAAGGGGTGGAAGGGGTGGAAGGGGTGGAAGGGAGGAAGGGGTGGAAGGGGTGGAAGGGCGGTGCATGGGGTGAAGTTGGAGAAGAAGGCCGTGTGGCGCCCGCCCTTCTCCTTGGTCAGCACGTAGATCTCTGCTTGGAATTTCTGAGACGTTTTGATGGACCCGGGCTTGCAGGCGACCTGGCCCCTTTGCACGTCTTCGCGCTTCAGCCCTCGCATGAGCAGCCCCACGTTGTCTCCCGCCTGTGATCAAAGGGCAGAAGAGAGGAAGGGCAGTGCATGACTTCAAAACCCCCCCACTAGAACGTGTGGCGCCCGCCCTTCTCCTGAGAAGCAGCCCTCTTCAGCCCTCCTCGCATGAGCAGCCCGACGTTGTCTCCTGCCTGCATTGCAGCGCCAGAGGGCAGGCCGAAAGGGTGGAAAGGGGTGCAGGCACAGACAGGCGGAAGGGTGGATGGGTGCGCACTTGCACCTGTCCAAGAACCTCACATACCCCCCATCCACCCACCCACCTGCTGCATCAGGCACCCCCATTAACCCCCTTCATCTCCCTTCAACCCCCCTCCCCACCACCACGGTGCGCCCCTGGTCGAGGATCTTCTTGAACATCTCCACGCCAGTAACTGCTGCCACTCCATCCCACCCACACCCCCCTTCACCCCTCTTCACCCCCCTTCACCCCTCTTCACCCCCATTCACCCCTCTTCACCCCTCTTCACCCCCCTTCACCCCTCTTCACCCCCCTTCACCCCTCTTCACCCCCCTTCACCCCTCTTCACCCCCCTTCACCCCTCTTCACCCCCCTTCACCCCTCTTTACCACCCTTCACCGACCTGCCCCTGGTCGAGGATCTTCTTAAACATCTCCACGCCAGTCACCGTTGTCTTGGTGGGATTGCCCGCCTGGAGGAGAAGAGGCAGTGGTGGGGAGCGAGGGGAGAGGAATGGGGGAAAGGGGAAGAGAAGAAGGGGACAGGGGGAGGAGAAGAAGGAAAAGGGGAGAATCTTCTTAAACATTAAACATCTCCACGCCAGTCACCGTTGTCTTGGTGGGATTGCCCGCCTGGAGGGGGGGGGGTGGTGGCGGGGGGGGGAGGGATTGGGGGGAGGGGGGAACAGGGGTATAAGAGAGACGGATGCGGGAGAGGGGAGAGGGAGGGTGGTGTTGGAGTGGGATGAGAGATGGGGGGCATGTTGGAACAGTGGTGGGGGGGGGGTACACAATGGGCCTACACGCACAGTGCACAATCAAAGTGAGAGTGGTAACCTCTCCTCCTCTGGTAACCTCTCCTCCTCTTGTATCATCCACAGCACAGCACCCCCATGCGCACCTTCATGCCCACGATCTCGATTTCATCGCCCACATTGATGATTCCCTGCTGCTCCACCCACCTTCCAAGGCGATTTCATCTGCCTTCTTGCCCTAACCACTCATAGGCCTCCCTTTACCCCCCTTCCCTTCCCTCCTCCCCTCCCCATGCGCACCTTCATGCCCACGATCTCGATTTCATCCCCCACTTTGATGATTCCCTGCTCCACTCGCCCTTCAAGCGTTTCAGATGCCCTCCACTTACCCCGAACACCCCTCGTTCCCTGCCCCACCCCTCCCTCTTCCCCCCCCATGCGCACCTTCATGCCCACGATCTCGATTTCATCGCCCACTTTGATGATTCCCTGCTCCACATCGCCCTGTCACCACTGTGCCTCGACCCTGTACGGAAGGAAGCAAGAGGGTAAGAATAGAGAAGGGGAGGGGAGGGGAGGGGCAATTTACTCATCACAGAAGATCCCCTGCTCCACTCGCCCTGTCACCACTATGCCTCGGCCCTGGAAGCAGCATGCGGAAGGGGAGGAAGGGGATGCACATAGGGACAAGGGGGAAGAGAAAGAAATTGAGGCTTCTGAGTCGACTCAACGTATCCCCTGCTCCACTCAGCCCCGTCACCACTGTGCCTCGACCCTGTGAGGGGCCAAGATGGCAACGGGGACGGAGGGGGGAGAGGAGTGGGGAGGGAGAGGAAGTGGGAGGCGTGGAGGGGGGAAAGGGAGGAAGGTGGTGACGAGAGAGACCGTTGCGGGAGATCACATCCTCAATGGACATCACAAGGGCTTGCGAAGAGAGCGCTGGGGCTCAGAGATGCCACGGCGTTGGGACTCGTCCACGGCTGTTATGGCCTTGAGCGAGCACCTGCCTGCTGCTCGCAGTTACTTTTGAGTCGACTCAAAAGGAGATTTCCTGCAACATCACAAGGGCTTGCGAAGAGAGCGCTGGGGCTCAGGGATGCATTCGTCCACGGCTGTTATGGCCTTGAGCACGGCTCATGGGAGCAACGCCTGCTGCTTGCAGTGCTGCACTCACCATGCATTCGTCCATGCATTCAAAATCTCTGAACTGTTATGGCCTTGAGCACAACCGAGGTGGGACACCCACCTGGATGGAGAACACGTCTTCAATGGGCATCAAGAAGGGCTTGTCCAGAGACCGCTGCGGCTCAGGGATATACTCGTCCACTGCTTCCATGAGCTTCAGCACTGCCTTCTTGCCAATCTCCTCGTTGGTGCCCTGCAGTGCTGCTAGTGCTGACCCACGCACGATGGGGATGTCGTCCCCTGGGAACTTGTAGAAGGACAGCAGCTCTGGGGGGGAAGGTTGGAGGGAGGGATGTGGGGAAAGAGGGGGGAGGGCAGTGGGACAGGGCAAGGGAGAAAGAGGGGAAAGAGAGGGCGAGGAGGGGTTTTTGTGAGCATGAGAATGGCCTTCTTGCCGATCTCCTCATTGGTGCCCTGCAGTGCTGCTAGTGCTGACCCGCGCACGATGGGGATGTCGTCCCCTGGGAACTTGTAAAAGGACAGCAGCTCTGGGGGGAAAAGGGCGTGAGAAGAGAGGGGGGGGGGGGGGGGGGGTGGGGCGGGATTGAGGGGGGAGGTTCCGCTGAAACACAGTGACCTGCGCACGATGGGGATGTCGTCCCCTGGGAACTTGTAGAAGGACAGCAGCTCTGTTTGGAAGCGAGGGCGGGTGGAGGGGGAGCGGGGTAGGAAGGATCGGGGGGGACCATACATTTAAGCACTGGCCCGCGCACGAAGGGGATATCGTCCCCTGCGAACTTGCAGAAGGAGAGCAGCTCTAGGTGAGAGAGAGGGGTGGCACGGAGGGGGGGAGATTGTCACGGAAGAGGGTGAGGAAGAAAGGGAAGGAACTAGAGCACCGCATCGACACGCACACGATGGGGATGTCGCCTCCTGGGAACTTGTAGAAGGAAAGGGGCTCTGGGGGCGGGAGGGAGACGGAGGACAAAGGGGAAAGAGCAGGGAAGGAAGAGCGGGTTGCACTAGAGCACACTGCATAGCATTGACCCTCGCATGAATGAGGGTGGAGGAGGGCAGACCCTCCATTACGTTGTACCCAGGTGACGGAGGGTGGAGACCCTCATACATTGCACTCACGTGCACTCCCTCGCTTACTCACCTGCCTACCTTACCCGCACACCACCTCACTCACTCTGTCCCACTTACCTCGCAGCTCCATCTCCACGAGCTCCAGCAGCTCCAGCAGCTCCTCGTCGTCAACCATATCCACCTTGTTAACAACAGCCGCACATGCACGCAAACCCTACCACACTCCCTCCCTCACTGATTCACACACGAGCCCGCTCCTGCACTACCTCATTCCCTCTGTCCTTCTGTTACTCACCCCATCTCCATCTCCAGCAGCTCCAGCAGCTCCTCGTCGTCTACCAAATCCACCTTGCTAACAGCAGCCACACATGCATCCACTCCCACCGCACACAACCCCTACTCGCCAACTCACTCGCTCTGCCCCTCTCACCTCGCAGTTCCATTTCCACCAGCTCCAGCAGCTCCTCATCGTCTACCATGTCCACCTTGTTCAGGAAAACACACCAGCGACGGCACTCCCACCTGGAGAGAGGGGGAAGGCGAAGGGAGGAGTCAGGGAGGCACACATATATGAGGCATGTGGACAAGGCAAAGCGTGCTCTCTTGCTCCTCATCGTCTACCATGTCCACCTTGTTCAGGAAACACACCAGCGACGGCACGCCCACCTGGAGGGAGTGGGGAGGTGAGGGGAGGGGAGGCACGTGCGCATGAGGCATGTGGACGAAGCAAGGCGTGTTCTGCTCCTCCTTCTCACCATCATCCACCTTGTTAAGGAAGCACATCAGCGACGGCACGCCCACCTGCCAGGTCAAAGGGACGTGGTGGGTGGGTAGAGACAGGGCATGTGAGCTCCCAGAAGGTGGGGCGTGCTGCGAAAGAGACAACAAGGTGAACTCGGGTGCTACAGACAGACTACAGGTGCCTGCCTGTGACCATTCTCCGTCCATCCGAGCAGCACCTGTGATCATGTTCTTCACTTAGTCCGCGTGGCTCGAGTGGGGTGGTGGGTGTGGCGAGGAGGAAGAGGTAAAGGGCAGCGGGGGTTGAGGTAGGGGGGGGGGGGGAGTAGCAGAGCACGTGCTGCCTTCCTTCTGCGTCTAAAGAGCTCATCCCTTCTCTCACCTGTCTGGCGAGCAGAATGTGTTCGCGCGTCTGGGGCATGGGACCATCAGGAGCCGACACCACGAGAATGCCGCCGTCCATCTGAGCGGCGCCTGTGATCATGTTCTTCACATAGTCCGCGTGGCCTGGGCAGTCCACGTGTGCGTAGTGGCGCTTCTCTGTTTCGTACTCCACATGGGCCTGAAAGTCAACGAGAGTCAATGGGTCAACGAGGGAGGGGTGAAGGGGAGTCAACGAGAGTCAACGGAAGTCAATGGGCGTCAGATGGGAATCAACGAGAGTCAACGAAAATGGGAGTCCATGTGACTCAGCAGCTGTGAATGGGCCACGTCTCCGCCTAAGCACTCACAGCAGCAACAGCAATGATGCACTCACAGTAGCAATGGTGATGCCACGAGCCTTCTCCTCTGGCGCCTTGTCGATCTCATCGAACGCAATCGCCTTCGCCTTGCCCTCGTCCGCCAGAACCTTGGTGAACACAATGGTTGGAGGGGGGAGAAGAGGAGGATAGGAAACGAGAAGGATAGGGAACAAGGGTGAGAGGAGAAGACACAAGGGCAGGAAGCAAAGCAAAGGCCTTTCATGGTGGAAAAGCAAAGCGCATCACCCTGGTATAACTGGCGGCGATGAAACGCGGCTGCGCGTACCTTGGTGATGGCAGCGGTGAGTGTGGTCTTGCCGTGATCCACATGGCCGATGGTGCCGATGTTCAAATGCGGCTTGCTGCACACGGGGAGATACGCACGCACGAGGGGGGATACGCGGGAGCCTATTTTTGAGTCGACTCAAAAAGAGGCGTAGGCATGCGTCGAGCAAGTGGATATGCTTGTATCACTTTTGAAATTTCTCACAGATTCGCCGCCAGTGAAAACCGCACAAGCACTAGCAGAATAAGGGGCAAGGATGCACAGCCGTAGGCGAATAAATCCTTGCGGTTTTGAGCGTAAGACGACCAAAACAGCGGCAGGCGAAATCATGCTTGTGAAAATCGCGACACGAGCCACCCGATCTTGACAAAGACTCGGCTAAGTCGGTAGTCTCACGCGATCTTGAATCATAGCGGAGCTGCGTGAAAGCTGCTACTCACGATCGGGAAAAGGTCGCGTATCCACGCCTGCACTGCGCTGCGATCGCCGCCGCGTCTCCCGCCGCGACTGACGGAGCAATGCCGCGAAACGACATCGACGACGCAGCGGCGCAAGTCACGGAGCTTCTGAAGGGAGACACCGCGCCGCTTAGCACCGCATCCACGTCACGACCTCCCGCAAACCCCGCGAGATCGCACGTGCTGACGTGGCGGCTGGCCAGCGCGGCGGCGCCATTTGGTGACGTGGCCGGCGCGGAAACTCCTGCTTGCGATCCGGATTCGACGGATCGGAAGAGCGCGCCGAGCGCGCTTCCTGTCGCTCGGTTGCGCGAAAGAACACGGTGGACGGATGTAACGGCCATCGTTATTAGCACCAGATCTGCGATCCCTCGGTGTAAGAAAGTGACAAACGGTCCTGCTGCGAAAGATGGTCTCCTCCCTGAACGTTTTTTCTAGACCTTCCTGAAGGGTCGAGTTGTAACACAGCGTACTAGCGTCGCTTAGGTGATAGGATGCGAGACTAAGCAGGCCCGAGAAGGCGAAGTAGGAGGGACAGTAGCTAAGCGAAAGGCTTAGCGGCTGGACCCACACCTAAAACAAGCGACTGCGATTCGAGCGCTACGTCGCGTGTTAGGCGCTACGACAAATCGTAGCGGCTGATAGGTCGAGCGAGACTCGATATTCCAGTCAAAATCACGCCTATGTCTCTAAAGCTATGATGGTGGTGCTATACCCTATTCCTGTCAGTCCTGGTAGCAACAAAGCCAACTTCGAGGTTCGCGCTGTTGGCTGAACTGTTGTTACTAGAAGTGTTCAACAATATCATTACATATCAATGAGGCCCTTTATAATTGGGTAACACTTTCTACAAGTTCTTGATTGTGGTTCCATGAAGGCGAAACGAGTGGGTGTACTCCCACAATTGTTGCATAAACTCTGCGGATGGTTGCTGGTCTTCTTGCTCCACCAACTGCAAGCAAAATCCACATATTAATTCAAATGGTGACGAAAGTTAGAAATAAAGTGACTGAACAAACAACACCACTTGTCTCACCTTAACCCTATCATCCTCTTGAAGCTCTCCCATGTAGAAATGCTGCAATTTTACAACAGAAAATGGACAAGAGTTATTAGGGAACAAAACCAAATGAACAATATTGAAGATCCCACAGCAATAACGATGTAGAAAAGGGCGAAAGTTGCTGTAGTTGGCATACGAGTTTACTGACTCACCCTTAGGTAAAGAAACGACTCTCGTGATGAATGGTACAGCTCAAAGAAAACAGTGCAGTCCCGATTGAGCCCCTGCAGTGTTCACCCCATTAAACGCAAACAAGGAAGCTTATAGAGAGGACAAGTGGCAGTGTACCCTTGTGAAGGAAAAAAGACAAAGTGACATAGACATTTCAAAACCGTAGTCACATTTACTCACCACCACTGAGCCTCACCTGAGTTGGAATGATTGTATCGCCTCCCGGGTGTTCCGGTAACCATCTGGTTACATCCAGCACCATGCCATCCAGAAGCAGCCAACAGTTGCCACCCACATTGCGTTCCGCCACCTCAGCAAAGGTGTACTCACTGGGATGGCAGGCAGGTGGATGGATGGGGGATGGGGTGCATGGATGGGGGTGCATGGATGGGGGTGCATGGATGGGGGTGCATGGATGGGGGTGCATGGATGGGGGTGCATGGATGGGGGTGCATGGATGAGGGTGCATGGATGAGGGTGCAGGGATGGGGATGGGGTGTGCACGCATGGGGTTGCACGGTAAAAAGGAAGCGCAGGGCAGGCCAGGGCGGAAACTACAGCATCATACTCTACGAAGGGAACCCACTCTCACCAGTGACTTTTGAGTCGACTCAAGGGCAGGGCGGAAGCTATAGCATGAAGCTCCACGCCAGGAACCCACTCTCACCGGATGCGCGATTCAAAGAGCCCTTGACGCTGGTCTCAGAGGTCTGCAAGGCTCTTGAGCCCCAAGGCAGCAGCTGCTTCCCTCAGGTCCCCAGTCAGGTTGACGTCAAACTGGAAGCTCCCTGCCTGCCGGCCCCTGGAAACCTGAACCCTGAAATAGGATCAGAAGCCCTATACCATGGAACCACTCTCACCGGATGCGCGATTCAAAGAGCCCCTGCCGCTGGTCGCAGAGATCTTGGAGACTTTTCAGCCCCAAGGCACTCGCTGCCTCCCTCAGGTCTTGAATGAGGTTGATGTCAAACTGGAAGTCTCCCCCCTGCCCCTTGAAATCCGCCTCTAAGAACAGCAGCACTCGGTCCAGCAGTAAGCAGTCGATGGGTACTTGAACGGTTGCGGGCTCTGGGCTCGTGTCCTGCACTGCCTGGAGTAGCATGAAGGAAAGTCAGAAAGGGCAGTCAGGGAGTGGGGTGTCAAACTGGAAGCCCCCAGCCTGCCTGCCTGCCCTTTTAAGGGCGCCTCTAGAAACGTGGGAGCACGCTCCAGTCGTCTTTCTTGTGAGCATTCTGGTAAGATAGTCGAGAGTGTGGACGGTGGGATGGGAAGGAGAGAACGTGGGACGGGAAGGAGGAAACAGGGGACACACTAGCATAGAAAGACACGGCATTGGAAAAAGCCACATGTTCATAGAACAACATACTTTAGTAAGTGTGAGGCACGGTCGCAGAAGTGCCTTCTTGACTGGGAATAGCTCATCGTCTGATGATAGGAGCTGGGGTCGGAAGCGGAAGCGGCGGGGAGTTGAGGAACAAGGGACGAAGAAAGGGGAAGAATGGAGCCAGTTCAGCGAGCTGAGGAAAAAGGAGAAGAATTGCTCTTCGTGAGTTGGGGAAGAACGTTCGCAGAAGAGCCTTCTTGACTGGGAAAAGCTCATCGTCTGATGATAAGAGCTGGGGACCAGGGGGTAAAGGAGGGTGGGTTTGGGGAAGACGAAAGAAGAGGAATGAAGCGAGTGGGGAAGGGGGAGGAAAGACGAGAGGAAAGGCATGGTCGCAGAAGGGCCTTCTTGACTGGAAAGAGCTCATCGTCTGATGATAAGAGCTGGGGGAGGAGAGGTGGGGAGGGGGGGTTAAGGGGTTGGATGGAAGGATGAAATGCGGGAAAGGGGGATCAGGCAAGGTGGTCAAGACCAAAATACTGTGGGCAGAAATGTAAACGAAGATCTGGTAAGGTAAGTAGCGACTCAAGGTGAACACAGCGATTCAAAAAAATCAGGTGGGAACCCAGTTGACTGGGCAAATGCCTGCTCTGCTCCTTCCTTCCCCCTCTACCCCTCAAACCCCCCATCCACGCTCGAAATTTGCATGGGGCACACACACTCACATTGACAACCCTACTCGGGCCTGTGTTTTTGGCAGCCTGCTTGGGAGCCCAGTTCACTAGCCGTATGCCTACTCATCCCCCTCCACACCTCACCCCCCAACCGCACTCTTTCCTTGCAAGGGAGGAACTCACATTGACAACACTACTCGGGCCTGCGCTCCTGGCAGCCTGCTTGGGAGCCCAGTTCACTTTCTGTACACCTGCTCATTCCCCCCTCCACCAGCCAAAACCCTTCACCCCCCCCAACCACGCTCGTTCCGTGCATGGGGCACACTCACATTGACAACCCTACTCGGGCCTGCACTCCTGGCAGCCTGCTTGGGAGCCCAGTTCACAAGCCGTATGCCTGTGCGAGCAAGGGGAGGGAAAGAGGGCGCTCAGAAGCCCAAAGGCGAGGGAAAGGGTCAGAATACCAGGGCGGTAAGATAGGAACGGCAGAAAAAGGGGATGGAGTGGGGGAACCACGAAAGTGGGGGGAAACGAATTAGACACGTCAGACAAAGCAGAAAACAGAAACAACGACAAAAAGAAAAAAAAAAAAAAAAAAAAAAAAAGAGCAAAGAGATCGTACCTGTATCGGGTACTAAGTGTATTTGAGTGTTCTTAGTGAGCATGCCTCGGTAGCTGTGGTAGAGAACTGCCTCCTCTCTCTCCTCCTCACCTGCCACCGACACGAGCAAGAAGGACGAGGGACAGAGATTCTGAGCTTGATTCACAATTACCAGGGGTATAGCACTGCCTTTTGAGGCGCCTCAAAATATAGCACTGCCTCCTTTTGCTCCTCCTCACCTGCCACACCTCAGCAACGAGCGAGTGAGATTGTTGCAGTCGACTCAAGAATCGGAGAAATAAGGCACACAGACGCAAACAACGCTAGCAGGCAAATCGTTCAACCGCAGAAGCTTTAGGTTCACCCCTCCAGGGTTCGTTCTGATGTCCAAAACACATATACCCTCAATAAGTGCAGCATGCGGTGTGATGTGGCGGTGGTGGCTAGAGTGACTCACTCAGATCGTTTGCCTCTGCCACTCGCACTGCCACCTCCTTCCCTCCAGCAGACACCACCAGCCTGCAGCATGGTGACACGTGGCCCAATGTAAAGATGCCACGTGGCGCAAAGCAAGGATGCCACGTGGACATGGAGTTGGGTTCGGGGCAAAAGACAGGCTTGCAAACAGCACACGTGCGGGTGGGTGGCAACATGCACTCAATTCAACCATTGATGAGATGGTTGAACTGAAGTGGTTGAACATAGTTTTTCCTGCACAAATGTATTTCCCTAATCGCAACCACTTAGAGGCGCCTCAAAATAAGTGAGGAAGGCAACCTCGGAAGAAGAGGCATACGTGTGGGAGACTGTTAGCACTTGATGGTGAAACATTTGATGAATCTGATTGCACAAATCCCCAGCGTCTAAACATAGGCACCCGCCCTTCCCCTTCCCCCCCCCCCTCCTCCTCCTCCTCCTCCTCCTCCTCCTCCTCCTCCTCCTCCTCCTCCTCCTCCTCCTCCTCCTCCTCCTCCTCCTCCTCCTCCTCCTCCTCTTCCTCCTCTTCCTCCTCCTCCTCCTCCGCTCCCACCCCCTTCTCTCCCACACTACCCTCACTCCTTCCCTTCTCCATACCAGCAGCGCCCCCTAGCAGAACCCGAACCTCCAAAGTCACATCTGTTGTGATTGTAACAAGGGGTACAGGAGCTGTGAGTCGTCTCTAACGCCATAATGAGGTGTGTGACTGCAACGAGGAATTATGGAGCGAATAATGGGGCTTTGGAACGTCCCCAAAGCAGAGAGAGGTGTGTGATTGTAACGAAAGAGCCGCTATGTACATGACATGCCCGAATTGCAATGGAGGGACAGAAGGATGATGGTGTGGTGAGGGAGAGGGAAAGGGACATGGTGTGGTGTGACTTTTGAGTTGCCTATCACACCCTACGTACCATGCAGTGCGAATCTTGGGGATGGGAGAAAGACGTCAAAGTCATAATGAATCTGCAGAGCACACAGCAGAGCATACAGAGAAACTGATAGAGAAACTGATAGAGAGAAACTGATAGAGAGAAACTGATAGAGAGAAACTGATAGAGAGAAACTGATAGAGAGAAACTGTTAGGGAGAAACTGATGGGGAGAAATTGATAGAGAGAAACTGATAGAGAGAAACTGTTAGGGAGAAACTGATGGGGAGAAACTGATAGAGAGAAACTGATAGAGAGAAACTGTTAGGGAGAAACTGATGGGGAGAAACTGATGGGGAGAAACTGATGGGGAGAAACTGATGGGGAGAAACTGATAGAGAGAAACTGTTAGGGAGAAACTGATGGGGAGAAACTGATGGGGAGAAACTGATGGGGAGAAACTGATGGGGAGAAACTGATGGGGAGAAACTGATGGGGAGAAAATAATGGGGAGAAACTGATGGGGAGAAACTGATGGGGAGAAACTGATGGGGAGAAACTGATGGGGAGAAAGACAGACTAACTGTCTGACTCGGATGGATGCACGCAGTGATGCCTAATGTTGAGGATGCGGAGAGGCAGAGGGGAAGGGAGGCAGAGAGGCAGAGAGGCAGAGAGGATGCAGGCACACGTAATGCGTGCACACACCACAGCTACTCTCACAAGGGAGGCAGACTCACATCAGAGGCGAGGTGCATGTTGAATCGGTGCACGGCAGAGAGGGCTATGGCGGCTGGTGGGACACATGGGTGCGGGCTGGCATGGGCATGCATTGGTATGGGAGAGAGAGAGGCAGGCACGGGCTGTCCTTGATTGGGCTGATGTTGGGAATTGTCCTTTTGAGGCGCCTCAAAAGATGCTGGGAGTGATAACAGCAGAGTGATGATTAATTAAACATCATGCATCATGCGTTACACATTGCACACCGATGGATGTGTGCCTTCATGTATGTATGCCCTCATGTATGTATGTATGTATGTGTGTGTGTGCATTTGTGAGCATGCCCGTGTCCGTGAGCAGGCACGCATGCACGCATGCATGCACATGTGCGTGTGCGCACTCACATGACTGCTAGAACCCCATCGCTGCCACCCTGCATCGCATGGCATGCCAACACAACAACGACACGAGACGAAAAAAATTGGTGTAAGTATAGCGCCGGCAGGAGGATAGTCAAGTCGAATGAGGGGACGACAATTCAAGGTTCTCGAACTGGTATTGCAAAGCAGTGCCCCACGTTGCACCACATTACCCCACATTGAACCGCATTGCCTTGCCCCATACATGGCCTTTTCCTCGCACTCCCCCAAGGTTCACCTAGAGCCCACCTTTAGTCCCCATTCACCCCCCCCAAACGGTCCCCCATACCCCAGCTCCATACCCCAGCTCGATACCCCAGCACCACTCTCAACCCATTCCCAACCCATCCCCGCCTTACCTTCTGCACCAGGTATATGCGCCCACATTCCCCCCCTTCCTCCCCCTGCTCCTGTCCCTTCTCCCCCAGTTCTCCTCCCCTCTCTCCCTGCTTCCCCTCCCTCTCGCCTCCTCGAGATCCTTCTGCATCTTTTCCCCCGTCCTTTCCCCCTTGACCCTCCCCCATCCCCAGCAACCCGCGGATCCATCCCCCCACCGCCCCTCCGCCCATTATCCCTCCCCCGGCTGCGCCTCTCCCCCTCGCGCGCCTTCCCCGCGCGTTCAGATTCCCCCCCGACCCTTCCGCTTCCGCCTGCTGCCACGTCTCCTTGATAGCCGCCCAATCCGAAGGGTTCACTCCGCATTGCCGCCCTGCCAGCTCGGATAACGGCCGTGCCGCTCCGCTGCGGGCACTGACATTGATTCCGTGTGCCTCGTCATCAGGATGCGTGGGCGCTGACGTGTCGAGATCTTCCCAATTGACCACCTGGTTTGGGGGTGGAGACGAGGCTCGAAAGGGACGAATCAGGTTGTCAATCCGGCTTGACTAACATGGAATGGAACAAGCTGAGCTCCAATACGAGCTTCGCGCCGGCGCGCTAATCTGTGCGCTCTTTAACGTCACATTCAACGGATTTGGACACTGTAGCGGTGACATTCTCCTGATTCCGCACTCTCCCTGATCCGTCTAAGATTCACGCCAAACATGAAGCACAGGAAGCCTCATGAAGTTTTTCTTTTTTTCGCGAATCGCTCGCAGCATTCCGTTCCGTGACGCAAGCGCACCTTCAGGCGGAAATGGCGCTTCGCTGCCGACTCGTCATTCACCATTGTCACGCGCGGCTAGTGTCAGAAAAATGCACATATCAGTCGACCAATCAGAAGTTGTCAGGACCCTGCACAAGTCCAAGGCAGTTCGAATTTAGGTTGCCTCGATTTGAGATACACACCTGACATAAGTGTACACAGTTTCACAAATTGTAGAGAAATTTTCAGATATTACTCCCATATAAGAACCCATCCCTCGTTTCGTTCACCCAATCGGTGGCAACCACCTCTACAGTAAATCAACCCCCACCACACAACTTCCTCTCGAGAATGAACAAATTTTACCAACAGCAATCCAGAAAAGGGCCCCTTGGGATTGTCCAACAGAAACTGATCCAAGTAGTATTGGAGTAGTCACAGCTACCGTAAACTAGTTGATTTCACGTTCTGTATTGTACCACGCACTGCATGTGGCAGCGGCGGATACGCTTCCACAGCTCGCCGTGACCTTTCCGTCACGCGACGACCGCCATGGCTCGCGGCGGAGGAACAAAGGTCAGATCACGGCCTTATATAACATAAGCGTGTTCCAGACACTTGAGTTCGGGTTCCTGCATTACTTAGCAACTTAATCTCTATTGGGTTATTGTAGACTGTTTGGGTGTTTACTAATTTTCTTGAATCTTCCATGTCAGACGGATTCAGTCCCGTCGACCCATCTAAACATTCTGACCAGCTTACATCTGGATGATTTCTCATCTCACTACCCACGCTTCGCTCTGTCAGTATCGGCTCTGTGCTCTTCCTCACTCCATTTTGCGCATACCATCTTCACCTTCTCCTAATATCTGTCCTGCGACTGTCGCTACCTTCTTCGTCATCAACCTTTCAGGGTGGACCTATCATGAAACGTGGATCGGGTGGCAAACCTGCTGCTGGGAAGACCCGTGGCGGCAGCAGCGGAAAGTCCAATCCCAAAGACAAGGCATCGTCACGAAAAACCACCGGTTCCGCGCAGCCCGCTAGCCGGCTAGCTGGCAGCAACCGTGGCCGGGGACGTGGGGGAACGGCAGCGGGCCGAGGAGGCAAGGCTGGCGCGAAATCCGCGAAACCGGCGAAATTACCGGCTCCGGCGGCGGCGGCGGGGGAGGAGGAGGACGTTGAGCTGTCAGACGAGGACGTGGCGTTCTTCGCGCAGCACCAAAACTTCGCGCGCTTCCTCTCGGGTCTTGAGGAGCAACAACTGGGCAGGTGAGCAGTCGACTCTTTGCGAGCACGGGTGTCATGTTGACCTAAGATCTTACCAGGACGTGGCGTTTTTGCGTGGTACTTATGATATGTTCATTGTTTTCCAATGTGTCCTGTTTTTACTCAGTGAAACCAAGAAAGCCAAGACGAAACTGCCGAGACCAGATCGTGCTGAGAACGGAAGCGATGCTGACAGTAGCGAGGATGATGAGGGAAGGAAGGAGGCTAGCGGTGATGAAAACGATTCAGAGGGTTCGGATGAGGGTGATGACGTGGATGAGGATGACGTGGAAGAGGACGTTTCTGACGAGGATGAGGAGCTTGCGGACGAAGAGGAAGAGGATGAAGATGGCGTCGCAGCGGATGCGCGGATGACGGGAGACGAAGATGAGGAGGAAGAGAAGGAAATAGAAATGGCGGAGGACGAGGAGGAAGAGGAGGAGGAGGGTGACGAGGAGGAGGAAATGGAGCCTGTGATTTCTGATGACGAGTTTGACGATGAGGATGAGGAGGAGGACGATGAAGAGGAGGAGGAGGGTAATTTTAGCGACGACGACGACGATATTGACGAAGTGATGGTTTTCGCTGATTCATCAGCGGCTGGTCTCGGCTCTCTGCCCCAGAAAGGCGCTAAAGGGAAGGCGGGGGAAGCGCGCCGAGCGGACAAGGGGAAGGGCGGAAGGAAGGGGGATGGGGCGGAAGGGGAAGAAGAAGAGGGTGCGGAGGCGGAGGGGGAAGATGAGTCGGAGGATGAAGAGGCGGAGTACGAGAGGGGATCCCGCCGCCCTGGGTGGGCTGCGCCAGCGGGTGCCGCGGGGAAGTTTGCGCCGAAACCCCGCGCCGCTTCCGCGGGTGTGGGAGGAGACGCGGAGGAGGTTGCGGTGGAATTGGCAGCAGGGGCGGAGGGGGAGAAGAAGGGTTCAATGCGGGGTTTCGGGCTTATAGCGGCGAGGGACAAGGGTGTGTTGGTGGATGCTGTTGACGCTCTGCCGGTTAAAACCCTTGACGGCCGGCTGATGTTCCGCGCGATTGAAGTGGCGGAAGGGGCGGAGGGAGAGAAAGGGGAGAAAGGGAAAGAATTGGCCGGGGAGAAAGAGGATGGGAAGAAAGGGAGGAAAGGGAAGAAGGGGGAGGAGGGTAAGGGAGGTCCGAGAGAAGAGGAGGCGGAGGAAGGGGAGGAGGAGGAGGAGGGCGAGGGTGGGGCGGCGGAGGGGAAGGAAGCAGGGGCTAGGAGGCAGCCGAAGGATGCGTCGAAGCTTACCCTGCAAGAGCAAGCCATGGTACGCTCTTCCCTTCCTCCCCTCCCTTTTGCCCAATGGCATGGTGATGGTACGTCCTTCTTGCTCGGTATTTAGTGATGCCCCTTTATGTTATGGATTTCTTCTTTCTATATGGTTGAGTGGGATATTAACTGTTAACTTTTTTCTCTACTGTCTTCTTCGCAGATGGAGTTGCAGGAGGAGATGTCGGTGGAGGAGCGGAGGGCGGCAGTGAAGAAGGCTATAGCGCGGATGAGCACGCAAATTCTCGCTGACCCCGAGACTCACATCGGCATGTTAAAGTCTCTGCACGTGAGTGTCGTCTCTCGCTTCTGCAAGTGAGTCGAGTTTTGAGTCGACTCAAAACGAGACGCACATCGGCATGTTGAAGTCTCTGCACGTGAGTGTCGTCTCTCGCTTCTGCAAGTGAGTGTCCTGTCCCAGCTGCAACGACTGCGGCGGGATGCGATGTGGTGAGCATAGTGAGCATCACCTCTCTTCTAGAGTGCGCCTGCCTTGAAACTCAAAACCTTCCCTCCTTCACCCCCCGCGTCCTCCTCTTTTTCCCCCCATGTCAGAAGCTGTGTTTGGACCTAGACGCCATCGTGGCCAGCCTAGCGGTACTGTCGCTGACAGCAGTCTTCAGAGACATCATCCCCGGGTACCGCGTGCGCATACGCTCGGAGAAGGGGAGGATATTTCTCACCGCATCCCCCCTTTTTTTCCCGCTTCCCCCCTCCATCAACCCCATTTCAGAAGCTGTGTTTGGATCTAGACGCCATCGTGGCGAGCCTCGCAGTTCTCTCGCTGACAGCAGTGTTTAGAGACATCATCCCCGGCTACCGCGTGCGCATGCGCTCGGAGAAGGAGCGCGCGATGGTGATGAGCAAGGAGGTCAAGAAGCGCTGGCTCTTCGAGGAGGGCCTGCTGCAATCCTACCAGGTCCGTCATATGAAGCGGGTTTCGGGTTTTTGTCTCCTAGTCGCCTCGATACAAGCCGTTTCTCACGTCGCTCGGAGAAGGAGCGCGCGATGGTGATGAGCAAGGAGGTCAAGAAGCGGTGGCTCTTCGAGGAGGGCCTGCTGCAATCCTACCAGGTCCGCCTTGTAACGGGTATTCGCTGTTGCGTATGTTCCACGTACCGCTGCTGCGGTATGAAGCTGTGTTCATTCGAGCCATTACAGCCGGTCTGATACGCCTGGACAGAGCCTAAACCTTCTGGTTTTGCTTTTTGAGAACTGGCGATTTTGGGAAGAGAAGGTCATGCAAGTGAGGGAGAATCGATTAAGTGGGAAAGCGCGGTGATGACACTGGATGGCTGAGAGGCCTTCACCTCGTTGACGCTCCCAATAGACTACAATTATCTGAGCGCTCTCCGACTCCCCCTCCTTCAGTCCGTCTCTCCCCACTCTCCCAATCCAAACCATCTATACCCCGATTCGGCATGTAGTTTACAAGTTTCCGGGCGCAATTCTGCCTTTGCTTGTGGGGAATGGGGAGAGGGGAAGGGCGGGTGAGGAAAGGGAATGGGAAGGATGGGGAACGGGAAGGGCCTTGGGAAGCGCGGTGATGACACTGGATGGCTGAGAGGCCTCGCCTCGTTGACGCTCCCAATAGACTACAATTATCTGAGCGCTCTCGTGCCCTCCAATCGGTCTCTTCCCACTCACCCCAGTATTCCTCGATTCCGGTCGGCCTGTAGCTATCCAGTTCTGAGGGTCTAGTTAATTCTGCAGTGGGGAAAGGGGAAGGGGGAAGTGGATCAGGGAAGGGAATCTCGAGGGTTAAGGATTGGGAGGGGAAACTGGGAAGCGCGGTGATGACACTGGATTGCTGAGAGGCCTTCACCTCGTTGACGCTCCCAATAGACTACAATTATCTGAGCGCTTTTCTAGTTCCCTCTGGGCTGTCCTCTCTCTCATCCTCACACCTGCTTTCGTCATTGGAGTGGTCGAGTAAAATCGCCCCACTACCCACATTCTGCCCATGTCCTTTGCAGAACCTCAATCTCTTCGTCCCACCCGTGTCCTAAACCCTTTCGCTCTCTGTTCTCCGCTCTCCAATCCTTCATCACGCTCCTTCTGAAGCACGGCAAGCAAGCAGCGCGCCGAACCGTGTCAGTGCGCGCCATGTGCGGGCTGCTTCGCGCCAAGCCATGTGGAAAGCCTTACCCCCCCTGTCCCCCTGTGCTCAACCCTTTCTCTCTCCCCTCTCCAGTCATTCGTCAACCTCCTTCTGAAGCACGCAAAGCAAGCTGCGCGCCGAGCCGTGTCAGTGCGCGCCATGTGTGGACTGCTGCGCGCCGCTCCGCACTTCAACTGCCGCTCGGAGCTCATCCGCGCCATCATTCCGCGCATGGACCTCGCGGACGATAGCATCAGGTAGGGAGTTACAGGTTTTCGGGTTCAGGGTTCAGGGTCTCAGTGGTTGCTTATACGGGTTCAGGGTTTGGGGACGTGAATTGAGTGGACCGCACTTGAACTGCCGCGCGGAGCTCATCCGCGCAATCATTCCCCGCAGCTACCTTGCAGATTACAACATCCAGTGTATTTATCCAGGACTCTGGGTTTTGGGTTCAGAGTTTCAGCTGAATGGCTTTTGCGAGTTGAGGGTTGAGAGTCCAGTGACGGTAAGGTAACTGTAGAGGCTGCTGAGCCGTTCAGCTTGTACCTGACTTCGTCACCGTTCACCCCTTTCCCCCACCTTCCCCGTGTTCTCCTCGTCCCCAGCTCCCTCTGCTGCAACACCATAGCGGAGCTCATGCGGGAGGACGGGCGGCACGACGGAGAGGCCACAGTGGAGGCGGCAGAGCTGGTTGCCGACTTCATCCGCCAACGCTGCTGCGTCACGCGCCCTCAGGTGGGTCATGCACCCTCTCAGCCCCCTCACCCTCTCATTACCTCTTTTGAAAAAGTCACGCGCCCTCAGGTGTTGCTGCCTCTTCTCTTTCTCTCTTTCCCCCTTCCCCGACCCCATCCCCCCCCTTCCCACACACATTCCTTCCTTCACACATATTTTGCTACATATCCTGCAAACCTACCTGCGTTAGGTTAATATCCCCTCGAGTGCAACTCTTCAGTCTGCAAGTTCCACGCTGGGTGTTTCAGCCCATCCCTGTCGTTTTCCTCGTTTGTTGGTGGTTTCTGAGAACTTTCTTTAACTTCTCCGGGTGTTTCACCCCATTCCCGTCGTTTTCTTCCATCTCGAGCATTAACAGCTGCTGCTCATCTCCCACCGCCCTCGTGTGTGGATTTCTAATCGTCTATCTCAATTCTCCCACCTCTTCCCGCCTTTGCGTGCAATCCCCTTCTCTTTCCCCTTCTCCCCTCCACTCCCCCCCATTCTTCCCTCCCTCATCCTCCGCCATCGCAGGTGCTGATGGTATTCCACCCCCTTGAGTTCGACGACGATCTCCTCCAATCCGCGGAGGGTCGCGGAGCCGGGGGACCGCGCGGAGGCGCAGCGCGGAAAGCTACCTGGGGCGCGGCGGGGGGAGCAGGCGGAGCGGCGGACGGGGAGGAGCAGCAGCCGGGGAAACCTAAGTCGAAGAAAGAGCGGAAGCTGGAGAAGCGGAAAGAAGCCGCGCGGATGCGGAAGGAAGTAGAGGGGGATTTCAGGGAGGCGGAGGCAGTGCGGGACGAATCCACGCGGAAGCAGCAGCAGGCGCGCGTGCTAGCAGCCGTGTTCGAAGCGCTTTTTAGGGTAGTTAAAGCCGCGGCTATGCTGCACCAGCCGCGCCCCACGGACGGGTCCGGCGCGCTCTCCCTCCCCCCGCGCCCGCTGCTCCCCTCCGCGCTCTTCCTGATTGGTCACTTTTCGCATCTGCTGTCGGTTGAGTATCTGCCGGATCTGCTGTCCACGCTACGCCAGCTGGCTGCTGACGTGGCGACGCCGCTAGACGGGGACGATGATGACCTGGCAGGAGGAAGCGGGGAGTGGGGGGATGGGGGGGAAGTGGTGACATGGGAGGGGGGGAGGAGGCGGAAATTAGGGCTTAGACTGGAAGATAGGCTGACGTGCTGTGTGGTGGCGCAGAGGGTTATGAAGGCGAATCTAGATTCACTGAATGTGGACATGCGCGGGTTCGTGACCCTCGTGTATCAAATGATTCTCGAGGCGCCTCTCGTTCCCGCGCAGGTCGCGGCCCTCTCGTCAGAATCACCCTCGGGCAAGGCATCCTCGTTAAAAGCACCGTTGGAGGAAGCGGACTCGTTAGAAGAGGAGGCGATCACGCCGGGGGGTAGCGCGATATCCTCGTTAGAAGCTGCTCTGGTATCCGCGTTACAGGAGGTGTTCATGTCGTCGGGGCACAGGCAGGCGGACATGACGCGCTGTGCTGCGTTTATCAAACGGCTCTCCTGCCGCTGCCCTGCATCTCTCTGCTGCTGGCGCTGTTGCTGGTGAGTGCTTGGGGTGGACTGTAGCGCTGGTACTGGTGAGGGTTCAGGGTTCAGGGTTTCAGGTTTGGCCACTGCCCAGCAATACGGGCCTCCTGATGGATATGGAATACTGTTTGACGGCCATGCTCCATGCATGGCGGATGACGTTTGACTCTTGCTGAAGGCACAAAGTTATCACTTTCCTGGGTTTTTTGTTTTGTTTTTTGTTTTTGTTTTTTTAGCTGACATCACAGGGTTATCACATTCTAGGGGGCACTTATGTTCCTGTTGATGGATTTGTACTACGGCCTGACTGCCATGCTGCATGCATGGCAGATGAAGTTAATCCCTTGGTGAAGGCACAGAATTATCGTAACACCTGAAAAGCAATAAGGATTCTCTATCCAGGATCTTTTCTGCATCTCCGCTCAACTCTGAATACCCGCCGCATCCTCCGCTTCCCTGTGTGCGCTGCAGTGGTTCTGCTAGCGACGTGCAACCTGTTGACTTTTGAGGCGACTCAATAGTCACCTCGTGCATCCCCCTCCTGCTGCGTAGTCTGACAGGTCTCATTGTTTGTTTTTTGAGAATTCTCAAAAAACACACCTGCTGCTGCGTAGTCTGACATGTCTCAGCGCATGTCTACTTATCCCTTCCCTTTTGTGTCACTGTGTGCCTCGCAGTGCTGCTAATGACACTGTGTGCCTCGCAGTGCTGCTAATGACACTGTGTGCCTCGCAGTGCTGCTAATGACACTGTGTGCCTCGCAGTGCTGCTAATGACACTGTGTGCCTCGCAGTGCTGCTAATGACACTGTGTGCCTCGCAGTGCTGCTAATGACACTGTGTGCCTCGCAGTGCTGCTAATGACACTGTGTGCCTCGCAGTGCTGCTAATGACACTGTGTGCCTCGCAGTGCTGCTAATGACACTGTGTGCCTCGCAGTGCTGCTAATGACACTGTGTGCCTCGCAGTGCTGCTAATGACACTGTGCCTCGCAGTGCTGCTAATGACACTGTGTGCCTCGCAGTGTTGTTTTGAGACGTCTCAAAACTTCCCTCTTGTGTCCCTGTGTGCGTGCCTCGCAGTGCTGCTAGTGGTGCGGCACATGCTGCTCCATTACCCCCGCTGTAGAGATCTTTTGCGCTACCTCCTGCTTATGTGCTTCCACCACCAATCTTCAACTCTCCTTATCTCTAACCCTTCCCTGTCCCTACATGTGTGCCTCGCAGTGCTGCTTGTGGTGCGTCACCTGCTACTCCGCTATCCCCGCTGTAGAGTGCTCCTAGACAAGGACCCAGATGACGACCTGTACGCTTCAGGGGGTGGTCTCGGCCCCTATGGCGGCCTAGCGGTGAGTAGTGCGGTTGTGTATGGTGCTGTGTGGTGCTGTGCGGTGCTCTGCTCTTGAGTGTGCTTTTCCGCTATCCCCGCTGTAGAGTGCTCTTAGACAAGGACCCTGACGACGATCTACATGCTTCGGGGGGCGGCCTAGCGGTGAGTGATGCTGTGCTGTGCGGTATTGTGCTGTGCTCTTGGGTGTGCTCTTGGGTGTGCTCTTGGGTGTGCTCTAGGGTGTGCTCTAGGGTGTGCTCTTGGGTGTGCTCTTGGGTGTGCTCTAGGGTGTGCTCTAGGGTGTGCTCTAGGGTGTGCTCTAGGGTGTGCTCTTGGGTGTGCTCTAGGGTGTGCTCTAGGGTGTGCTCTAGGGTGTGCTCTAGGGTGTGCTCTAGGGTGTGCTCTTGGGTGTGCTCTAGGGTGTGCTCTTGGGTGTGCTCTTGGGTGTGCTCTAGGGTGTGCTCTAGGGTGTGCTCTTGGGTGTGCTCTTGGGTGTGCTCTAGGGTGTGCTCTAGGGTGTGCTCTTGGGTGTGCTCTTGGGTGTGCTCTAGGGTGTGCTCTTGGGTGTGCTCTAGGGTGTGCTCTAGGGTGTGCTCTAGGGTGTGCTCTAGGGTGTGCTCTAGGGTGTGCTCTAGGGTGTGCTCTTGGGTGTGCTCTTGGGTGTGCTCTTGGGTGTGCTTCTGCGTCATCCCCGCTGTGGAGTGCGCTTAGACAAGGACCCCGGCCTCACCCCTTTCAGTGGCGATGGAAGAGCTCTCAGCTGCCCTCACATCCTTCCTCTGGGAGCTCACATCATTTCCCCGATGCCCTACTTCCCCTCCCTCCTCCCCTCCCTTCCCACCCATCCCTCCCCCGTCACCCCCCTCCCCGGGTTGATTATATCCTCCAGCGCTACGACCCAGCAGCACCAGAGCCCGAGCTCTCAGCAGCCCTCACATCCTTCCTCTGGGAGCTCTCCCTTCTCTCCCGCCACTACCACCCGCACGTTGCCAGCCTGGCACGCCACGTCAGCACCATTGCCACGTCACCCGCCGCCACTGCTGCCCCCGGTAAGCCATCCAAGGGGGTCGCTGACCCGTACCAGAAGGGTCAGCCGCAGAAACAGCAGCAGCAGCAGCAGCAGCAGCAGGAGGCAGGCGGTTCGTCATGTGGTTTTTCAGGTGCTACTGATCTGCTGCTGCTAGCTGGCACTGTGAACAGCGCTATCGACAGTAACAAAAACAGTAACATGAACAGTAGCGTAAGCAGCGTACCAGTGGGTGTGGTAACCCCATCCCAGGCGTATGCCGGCTACAGTGGCGCTGTAACCGAGTCGTGCTTCCGGCCAGCTGTCGCGACGCCATTGGCCGTGAAATCGGGCGCGGCGGGGGCGGCTGCTAGGCGGTGGCGGAAGGAGGTGGTTCTGGGGCGGATGAGGCGGAAGCGGGGGAGAGACGAGGGGGAAGGGGGGAAGGAGGCAGGGGGAAAGGGAGGAGAGGGCAAGGGAGTAGGAGCGGACGAGGAGGAAGAGGAGGAGGCAGGGTGGGGGATGGGGGATTGGGCGAGGAGGGTGAGAGTGTCATGTTGGCAGCAGTGGGGGGCGGCTATGAAGGCTGGGGCAGGAAGCAGCAAGGTAGGGAGTGGCAGGAGAGGAGGGAAGGGCAAGGTGAAGCAACCACAGCAGCCAAAGTTGCCGAATCAGCTGAAGCAGCCACAGCAGCTGCAACAGCCAAAACGAGCCAAGAAGGAGGCAGCTGCAGCATGAAGCGCACAAGAGGGGCAGCAGGACAGCCCAGTGTTGGGGGCTATGCTCCCCTGTTTTAGGGCTTGGGCTCCCTGCTTCAAGCCCTCGTCTAAGGGGTCACTGGTTGGCTGCTTGTGCTTACTCCAATCAAGACTCATTCCGCTGCCTGCTTTCGAATCCTAATCCGTCTGGTACGTGTCACGCTGGTACTCCCAATGCTCGCTGATATGCAGTTACTCTTGAGAAATTTTTGATATCAATTCTAGTTTATCTGGTGCCTAATGATACTTGTTTTACGCACATCAAATAAACAACTGAGTGCCATGACTGGCACATGAGGACCATTACTGCTGAAGGCACACCTGAAACCTTGAACCTAGAACCCTGAACCTCGACTCCAATGCATGGAACTTCCACCCTTGCCTCACGTGCTTGAAAATGGTCAAACGGGTTTGGTTCCCGCTTTGCTTCCCTCGCATCCCTGAAGGATTCTTTTTCTGGTCTGGTCGGTGATGCTACCAATCAACTTCCTTACCTACATTACCTGAGCTGGGTGGGCCCTAGGGCTCCTTCCGCTGCTGATCCACATTTCACACTGAGACCAGACCAGGTGCTTTCTTGAGAGAGTGACACACTCTGTCTGTGATTCGTTTTTTTTTTTTCTTGTCGTGTGCTAACCTTGCTGAGTTGACTTTTGAGTCGGCTCAAAAGTCGACCAGGTGCTATTTTGGAAGAGTGACAGACTCTCTGTCTGGGATCTGTTTCTTCTTTGATTGCCGTGTGCTATCCTTGCTGTGAGCTCATGGGATGCCTGATGATGCTTTTTTACGCACATCAAATAAACAACCGAGTGCCAGCAGTGGCACATGAGGACTACTACTGCTGAAGGCATACTTGAAATTAACCTGAGTTCCACTTAAATCCACCTGAATAACACTTGAATTGCATCACACCTGAACTATGGAGGGGCACTTTCCATGCCTCAAAGCACCTTGTTTCTCCCTCGGGCGTCTGAAACCCATTGTTGGTTCGTCCGCCCTTCTCCTACCTTGCGTTTCTTTGCCCTTTTTCCACAGGGGTGCCTTGTAGTTAGTTTTTTTTTTTTTTTTTTTTTTTTTTCTTCAGAAACGTCCTTTCGAAACTGGATTGTTGTGCTGGCTATCTTCTTGTCTGGTCGGTGATGCTACCAAACAACTTCCTTACCTACATTACCTGAGCTGGATGGACCCCTGGGTTCCTTCCACTGCTGATCCACATTCCAAACTGAGACCAGCTCTTCTCTTGAGAAATTGCTTGTCCCTTATGCTGTCACCCCTGTTATTCTTATCTCCTATCTCTCCTATAACTCTCGTCCCTCGTTTCCGTCCCTCATCTTTCTTGCTACCCCTTATTGCGTGTGTGCTTAGAGAGAGTGAGTCTGCTCTGGGGAATCTTCTAGTATGAAAAGAGATGCCGGTGACAGGGAGTGTGTAATGATGAGGAAATCCTCTGGGAAAATCAAGAGACGGTGCTCTATGCACTGAATGAGTTTCTTAATTCCAATAGATCCTCCTGAACACAGTCCTACCCGCACCATACTCGCTTCCCCTTGCCTCTTCATATGCCGCCTACCTGTTGGTTGCACTCTCCTTGCTATTCCATCCCTTTGTCTCTCTCAGCACCTTTCTATCTCTCCCCTTCTTCTCCTCCCTCAGCTCTCCCTCCTTCTCATCTCCCTCCCTTAGCTCTGTCACCTTCTCTCTTCTGTGATTTCCTGTCACCTGTCCTTGCTTCCAAGCCTTTTCTTCTTTGTGCGATGGAGAGTAGAGGCAAAAGTGTACTGATGAGGAAACCCTCTGGGGAAATCAAGAGACAGTGCAGCAAGCACTGGATGAGTTTCTTAAATCCAATAGATCCTCCTGAACACCCCTCTACTGGCTCCGTTTTTCTGACTTCCTTGCTCCCCTGCCTTTCCCTATCCCCCACATCTTCCAAGGCCAGTCTCCCACCATCCCCTGTCTAAATTCCCCCCTGGACTCCGCTTTTGGCCTTGGGCTGATGTGAGTGTCACTGATTGTCAATGCTGGGATGCTGTGTGATGATGAGGAAACCCTTTTAGGGAATCAAGAGACAGTGCATCAAGCGCTGAATGAGTTTCTTAAATCCAATAGATCCTCCTGAACACCCCTTTTCTGTTGTGACTCTCCCGGCTTGCTTGCCCGCCCTGCCTTTCCTGATTCCTCTTATCTCCACTCTCCCACCATTCCCTCTGATTTTTCCCCCTCTTTCCCCCTCGTTCTAGGCCTCTTATGTGGGGGGTTCTCTCATGAAATATCTCGTGATGCGGTTGCTGTGTAGTGATGAGGAAACCCTCTGGGAAAATCAAGAGACAGTGTTGCAAGAACTGAACGAGGTTCTTAATCCAATAGATCCTCCTTAACACATGTTTGCTGGCTTTATTTCCACACCCTTTCAGTTTCATTCTTTTGACTCTCCAGTCACTTAACATTTTCCCTCTGTGCTCACATTCTATCTCTTTCCTTCGTTCCCCATGCAGTGCAAGCTGAAGTGTCAAAAGATATCTGCTTGAAGCCAGGGCAGCATACACGCTCTTGCTGTCTTGCCGTTTATTTCCAACGTACCTAATCCATCAGCTTGTTGCATATTTTCAGGCCAAGTGTGGCTAGCTAGCTTGCCTTACTGATAAATTTTTGTAATCCTCCATTTGGAGTTAATTTTTTTGTGCTACTAAATGGTTCTAAGGCCTATGTTGGCGAATTGAATTGTGAAGGTCCATACAAATAAATATACGATACTACATTATCAACGAAGAATAAATGGAGCGCATACAGGGCAACATTTCTCAAATTGCTGTCAAATCAGACTCACTACCAATATTCCCGAGTGTACACGTAACACGACCGCATGTAACATGCTCGGGCGAAACCTCTACAGGTACAAAACGAGAGCCGCAGATTCGACCCGAGCTGTCGATGTGGGGCACAGGGCGAAATTCCCTGCCAGGGTCCTCGAAACTGCCGAGACCAGTAGCCGTGGAGAAAAAGCAGCCTGGGAGGTGTGTGGTGAGGCAGGGCGGAGCAGGACGGGGGAAGGGGTGATGAGGTTGAGGGATGGTGGGGATGGGCGGAGGAGGGCGGAGGAGGGCGAGGGAGGGCGGGGGAGGGCAAGAGAGGGCGGGGGAAGGCGGGAAAGGGGACTTGTAGGGGGTTGAATACGAAGAGGACGTAGGTGGTTATCGCTGAAGAATGCAAGGATTATAGTAAGTCTCTAGAGATCTCTCGCACGGTATACATCTGGACACGTGGGTAATGAGGCAGCATGTTCGCAGAACGTCAAGGTCGTGCAACACGGCGATGCGAATTCGGGCATGAGAGGATGATTTGAGACGTCTCAAAATTACACTTGTATCACGGCGATGCGTATTCTGGCTTGAGAGGATGGTCACCTGAGAGAACGGTTTCTAGAAAGGATGGTTACCGGGAGGGAAGGGCGCGTGGGTGGTGGGGCAGCACGCTCGCAGCAGATTGATGTCGTGCGACACGGCGATGCGACGGTCGCGACACATGGCCCAGTGCAGCTCCACGTGGCTGTCGCCGTCCTGTGATTGTAACGAGTCACACACAAACGGAAATAACGGAACGAGGCGGAGTTGAAAAGGCGAGAGGCAGTGTGCAGCCAGTCACGGCCGCTGGAGTGACAAAGGGATCCCTTGAAAAAACCGAAATGGCCCCCGCATTCTTTCGTTCCTATCTCTGATTCAGTTAGCTGGTCTCTGCTACATGGTGTTCTGCCTGTTCGTTTTTCCGCAATTTCTGGCCATTTTTACTCACAGCGGCGATGAACGCGTTTCCCGTTTCGTTGTCGTAAATCATCGTGGAAAACGGCCCGACCATCTCCGCCAGCGCGGACTCCGCAGAATGCGACACCTGGTCGTACAGAAGGGCACTCCGAAGCACCTTGTACATCCCCAGCACGAGCTGCGACTCGCTCGTGTCGTGACCGTGGCCGCCTGCGACGCCGTACGACCGTCGCAGCTGTGCGACGTTGTCTATGCGACCGGTGAAGACGCAGAAGACGTCGCCGGATGCGGCGAGCTGCGTGCGATGGAAGGAGTCGTCGCCGTCGTGCGAGTAGCCCAGCACGGCCTGCGCGCCGAGCTGTACGCTCGCAGCGTTCGGATGGCGTTTCAGAAACTCCTGGAGGAGCTCAGCTGACGTGGAACACTTGGAGGCATCATAACTGACGTCGCATGGGAGCTCGACAAGCGATTCGTCGAAAATGGCCAGCGCCATTCGCGGAGGATATGAGTACACCCTACTGTGCCTTTTGGAAACAACCAAATTCAATGTGGGAGGGACGACGGCAATAAGAAGACGGAAAATAAGGCTGAAACTCGACCGGAAGTTGCAAAACTAGCTTTGGGCCGCTTAACGTTGAGATTCGTCCACAAATTCGATCGAAGGAGGCAATGTAATTAGCACGTTTCAGAAGCAGCGCTCACCAGGCTGCTGACTAGTAAATGCACTATCGGTTCAGGAGGAGGTAATAGGTTTGATCTGAGAAGCCAACAGTAGAATGAACAAATAAAAGAAGTGGCATGTGTGAAGGACGAGCAGAACACAAGGATTACTAGCTAGCGAGGGATAAATAGGACCAGCTGGAAGGGGTGAATGTGGTGAGAGCAGAATGAGCGGTGATGATGGTGGGAGGGAAGGTGGCTATTGGAAGCAATTCTGTAGGACAGCTCAGGTGAGGACGGGTTCTATCTGCCCTGATGGCTAGGTTCGGTTTGGGCCCCTGCGTAACTGAAATCAAATGAGCTTGTGTTTGGCATGATAATCAATGTCAACGTCCTTGTAACCTGACATGCAGTTGAGGGTTTCATGAGTATTGGATCTTTTGACTAGGCCCTTCACACATACAACGCAACAGATTTGCACTGCTGGCACTGCCAACGCGACAGACGACATTTGCCACTTCGCAGCGATAGTGTGCGAACCGTTTGATTGTGGCAACCGTGGCTTTCGACTGACGTGGTTAGGCATGAATTCCACGTGACAGCCACTCAGAAAGATGTTGAGTCAGCTGAAGAAGGAAACCAACTGGTCGTGCTCTGCTTTCTGAATGATTCGTTAAATAGTTTCGCTTGAATGGGTTGTGTACTTGTTACGAGTGCAATTGAGTGAACGAACGAGAATTGCACTATCGAAGCAAGAGTACAATGAGCGAAGGCATGAGCGAAGAATATATAGCGAAAGTACAGTGGTAACGGTAATGGTCGCGCGACGAGCCTGGGACTGAGGTTGGGAACGTGTCGAAGCGTAGGCCCGGAGCGCGGGTTACCAGCCGAGCCGTGAGGTCGGGATGCGATGTGCGAAAATGGTGGGATGATGAATGATGCGATGGTCGCGAGTGGTAACGGTGCTGACTGAGGTGCTACAGTGATGTACGCGTTGAGCAGAGATGCGAAGTAAGGAAAAGGGAATTTCCTTACACTACCCCCCCCCCTCCTAAAAGGTCCTCCTTACGAAAGCGCGTGGACGTCCTTGAAGTTTCGGCTGCGTAGATAGTCGGTGACGACAGGGTGGTTTTCAATTCTGTCCAGGGGAACCCAGTTATCCTCGGTGGGTGTACGATCTTTCCAGCGAATCAGAAACTCAACTTTTCGGGCCCCTCGAGGGTCGCGAACTCTGTGGCTCAAGATTTTGTCGGGGGTGATGACTGGTTCGGTTGGTGGTCGTGACATGCTGGATGGTCGATGTCGTGGGAGTTGGCTGGTGGATGGTACGTAAGGGCGAAGCAGGCTGACGTGGAACGAGGGGCTGACGTACCAGTCAGCAGGAAGGAGGAGGTGCGCGGTGACAGGTGTGATCATGTGACTGATTCGAAATGGCCCACAGTATCGAGGGCGGAGTTTGGGAGTGATGGGCAGGCGGAGGTTCTGAGTGTCGAGTAAAACGAGGTCGTCGGGCTGATAAGTGACGGGTCTGCGGTGGCGATCGGCGTTGCGTTTAGCGATGATATTTGATTTTTTAATTGCTTCTGCTGCCCTGGTCCGTGCTGCTTGCAAAATCTCGGCGAACTGTTGTGCGCGTGGAACGGGATTGTTGGGGTTTGGTGTCATGGGTACTGTTGGGTTCTGTCCGTAATTCAAGTAGAATGGCGACTGTTGGGTCGTGGCAGATGGCGCGTTGTTGTATGCGAACTCTATGAGAGGCAGCTGCTGCTCCCACGTGTTTGGATCGTCACACGTGGCTCGAATGAGTTGCTCCATAGTCTGGTTTGTCCGTTCTGTCTGTCCGTCGGTTTCGGGGTGATACGATGAACTGAATTGAAGTCGCGTGCCGAACTGCTGCCACAGGTTCCGCCAGAAATTACTGGTAAACTTCGTGTCCCTGTCGCTGATGATCGACGCTGGTATCCCGTGCAGTCGAACGACGGTGGCGATGAAGAGTCGGGCTGTATCCTCGGCTGTGATTGATTTCCTGCATGCTGCGAAATGTGCCATTTTCGTTAGTCGATCGACGACGACCAGGATCGCGTCATTCCCACTCGCCCCGGCCGGTAACCCCGTGACGAAGTCCATCGTCACCTGCTGCGAAGCACGCTCTGGAGGTGGGATTGGTTGTAGTTGTCCTGCCGGCCGCTTCCTGGTTGACTTCATGAGTTGGCAAGTGGGACACGATGCCACGTGTCGTTGCACGTCGGTCAACATTTCCGGCCAGCAATAGTACCGCTGCAGCTGCTGCCGTGTTTCTTCTACTCCAAAATGTCTGAGGTAACTCCGTCGTGTGCCTCCTGTAACAGTAGTTCCCGTAGTAGCGTGTACCCTGGTACCCAGATGCGGTCGGATCCAGCTTTTACGTAATATGCTCCCTTGGCTGCTGCGAATTGCTGTGAATTTCCTCCTGTGAAGAATGGGTCTGTTTGATATCCGTGGGTAAATAGTCCTGTTAGTAACGGGCTGGTCTGGGCGAGTAGTATCGCATGTATTTGGGCAGTGGGGCGGGTCAGTGCGTCGGCGATATTCGAGGCTCCTTTTTTATATGTGACCGTATAGTGGAAATTCGATTCGAGGAAGTCGAGCCACCGAATCTGTCGTGGGTTGAGGTGGGGCTGTGCGCGAAGGTACTGTAGGGATCGATGGTCTGTCCGTACTGTCACGTCTGCGCCGGTCAAGTAGCAACGCCACACTTTAAATGCATGCACGATCGCGAGCATTTCGCGGTCGTGTATCGGGTAATTTCGCTCAGGTGGATGTAGCTTGCATGATTCGTAGGCGATGGGTTGGAGGCCGTTGCCGAAGTCCTGTAACAGTACGGCTCCGATGGCGATGTCACTCGCGTCTGTAACAACTTCGAAGGGGCGGTGTGGGTCAGCGATGCGTAGGACGGGTGGTGAACAGAGAACATTTTTCAGGGCAGAGAAGGCAGCATGCTCTTTCTCCCCCCACGTAAAAGGGACCCCCTTACGCAGTAAATCAGTGAGCGGGGCTGTTAAGCGTGCGATGTCGGGGACGAACCGACGAACGTAATTAACAAACCCTAAAAAACTCTGTAGTTTCGTGATGTTCGTCGGGGGATGCCACGCTTTTACGGTATCCAGCTTCTTAGGGTCTATCTCAACCCCAGCCTCCGAAATGACGTGACCTAAAAACTCTAGCCTGTCCCGAAAAAACTCGCACTTGGAGCCCTTGGTGAGTAACCGATGTGCCTCTAAAATTTTAAAAACTGCTTCGAGATCTACTAAGTGTTGCTGCTGGTCCCGACTTTAAACGAGGATGTCGTCGAGGTAAACTATGACGCATTTATCTAAAAGTGGCCTAAACGCCTCGTTCATGGTCATCTGAAATGTTGCAGGCGCGTTGGTCAGCCCGAAAGGCATCACCGTGAACTCGAATGACCCGTACCTAGTCCTAAATGCTGTCTTGGCGCAGTCCGATGGTTCGACCCGAATTTGATGGTAACCTCCCCGTAAGTCTATTTTCGAAAATACTCGTGCGGTTCGCAGCTGGTCGATTAGTTCGTCGGCGCGGGGGATGGGGTATCGTGATTTTACTGTTACCCTGTTAAGCGCTCGGTAGTCGATGCACATGCGAAACCCCCCGTCTTTTTTCGGTGTGAACAGTATCGGTGCGGCGAACGGTGACGAGCTCGGTCGGATAAACTGCTTCTCTAACAGGTAATCTAACTGCTTCCTTAGCTCTTCGAGCTCGGGCTGTGTCAGTCGAAATTGGAGCTGTACAGTTGGCTGTGCCCCCGGTTCTAACTCGATCCTATGGTCATGCACCCGCTGAGGTGGCAGCCCTTGCGGTAAGTCATCCGGAAAGATACCCGGGAACCGTTTCAGTAGTGCCTGTAGTTCGGGTGGTACGGCTGCCAACAGTTTCTGCAAATCACTCGGCCGGTCCTCTTTTTCCACTAATGCGATATCCACTGCGTACACGTCAGCTCCAGCAGCGACAGCCCGTTTCATCGTGATGGCGTTGACCTGGACCGTCGAAGACTCGGGTGGCTGCCAGCGAGGTAGGACGACCCAGTTACCACTACTTCGCACTGTGCAGCTACCCGTCGTCCAGTCAATCCGTGGGTTATACCGTCGCAGCCAATCACGTCCCAATAAAATGTCGTGCCCATCCAGTGTCGTTGCGAGCATTTCCTGTGTAAACCCGAAGTTCCCTCCGCAGCGGACCTTTACTCTCTCCACCTTTTCCCGTATAGCCAGTGGCGTGCCGTCGACTAAGCGTGCATCTATCTCAGGTAAGCATCGGTTATGTCAAAGTAATAGGCTAAGTTGAAAGGAAGGGCCTAGGCTTAGTAGCCTAGGCCCGTACTTAGGTATCGTGCGGGTTTTGCCCTAGGCGAGGTGTCGAGTGAGTTGAGAGAGGAATTGGTGAAAAGGGATGGTTTCACTATAGGTTCAAGGGTACATATACAGTAGCATAGAAACCAAATAAGGTGCACCACCAACAACAGTTTAAATAACTACACTAACTAACAACTACAAGCAGTTCTAAAACATGACAATATATTTCGACACGCCCCCATAATGCTTGTAGGTAGATATGTAGTTACAGCATAGCAAGCAACAGCAGGTACCCCTTCCATCTCCTCACCCTCCTCCTTCCCCTCCCCCACACTGCTGCAGAGCAGCAGAGAAGGGGGGGAAGTGAGGAGTGGTGGAGGGACGGCTGCATGTTGCCTCACACCCGCCACCCCGGTACCACTCCCCCTGCTCCCCCACATCCTCACACCCTCCCCCCCCCAGCGGCAACTGCAGCGGTGGGACTGAAAGAAGGAGGAGGGGAAGGGAGAGAGGTGACCCAACACTCCAACACCCTCCACCCCCATACCCTCCTCCCCACGGCTGCAGGGAGACAAAGGAAGAAGGGGGGTGGGAAGGAAGAAAGCCGCAGAGCGGCGAAAAGGTGTCGGTGCAGATGGGTCAGGGGCGGCTTCAGGGAGAGCAGGGGCAGAAAGGCCCGTCGCGTGCCAGTGCTACGGGGCGCACGACGGGTAGAAGAATAAAAAGGGCCCGATCGTGCGCCTAGGGGCGCACGACGAGCAAGGCACCATCGTGTGCCACGGGGCGCACGATGGGCAGATGAAGGGCACCGTCGCGTGCCACGGGGCGCGCGACGGGCAGAGTAGGAGCCACACACCCGTGGGCGGGACTAAGTAAAAATCGTCACGCGCCCTAGGCGCGCGACCGAAAAATCATCGCGGAAGCGTAAGGCGGGCCCACAGGCCAGGTCGTAAAAAGCTCCGATTCCATGTCAAAGTAATAGGCTAAGTTGAAAGGAAGGGCCTAGGCTTAGTAGCCTAGGCCCGTACTTAGGTATCGTGCGGGTTTTGCCCTAGGCGAGGTGTCGAGTGAGTTGAGAGAGGAATTGGTGAAAAGGGATGGTTTCACTATAGGTTCAAGGGTACATATAGCATAGAAACCAAATAAGGTGCACCACCAACAACAGTTTAAATAACTACACTAACTACAACTACAAGCAGTTATAAAACATGACAATATATTTCGACAGGTTAAGTGTTAACTGTAATTTCCGTGCGGTTGCGGTATTAACTAAGCTGTGACTTGCTCCTCCGTCAATAAAAATCTTCACTGCTGCTCCCTGTATTTTCCCGTAGATTAGTACCGGGCAATCCGTCGCTGTACCCTCCTTATTCATCCGAGCCCGATCGATGGCATGAATCGGTACTGTGACTCGCTGTGGGTCGGTGTGGTTGGGCGAGCAGGCAGTCTCGTCAGTAGTTGGCCCAACTTCTACTGACTGCTGGCGTTTCCCTGCCTCTGAGACTCCCTCCCCTGCTCTGCTCCTCGGCGCCTCAGCTCCTCTGGGCATTCGCTCTTGCGATGGCCCGGCCTGTTGCAAGCAAAGCAGCGCCCCTTAAACGGTGCGGCAGCTGCATTCGTTGCGACGGCGTGTACAGTGGCGTGCTCGGTCGGTTCCCGAGGACGATGTCCGTAATAGGACCCCGGTCTCGGTCGGCGTAGAATGTCGATCTTCTCGGCGAGCGCGAGAATCTCGTTGAAGTTAGAGAGTCCGCGCAGCATTATCTCGTGCGAGATGTCCGGCTTCAGCCCTCCGACGTAACGGTCCACCCGCTCCGCTTCGTGCATGTAGCCGACCTACTCGCAAAGTGCGAGAAAACCGCTGGTATAGTCTTGAACTGACCCGAGCTGGCGCCAAGTGCGCAGTTTCTGACGCGCCGAAATTGAAGCCGCGATCGGCTCAAAGCGCGCCCGAAGTCCTGCGCACCACGCATCCCACGTGCTGTATTGGGCGGTCTCGCAGAACGAACTCCAGGTGACAGCTGGACCCGAGGGTCCTTCCTCGTGCGACGGTGGCTCGTAGGCGCGTGGCGACGTCACGATGACTCGCCACCAGTCCATGGCGGGGCCCCTTAGCAGTGAAACCGCATACCGGATCTTTGCGGCGTCCGACTCGACGTAATTGGCGTCGAAGAAAACGTTCATCGTGAAGACCCACGATTGAACTGTCGGACCGCCGCGTTGACTTGGGTCGAAGCAGGGCGGGCGTTGCGGCTTGAGCGGCATTGGTGCCATGTTGGGTTGTTCGCCACTTGTTGCCGCAAATTCCACGTGCCGACGGACTTCTCGAGGCTTCCGTGGGCTTGATGCGATCCTGTTTCCTCCCATGCCAGGCATCGGCTGGGCGGCGCCCTCACTGGGTGCGCCTGAGCGTTGTCCCGTGCTGTCGTGTTGTGTTGGTGTGCCGGACGAGACGATGATCGGCTCATCCGAACGTGCTGATGCGTTTGTTGGTGCGTGGGATGTCGTCGGTATGTTCATCGTGGATTGTTGACGGGCGGAGTCACGTTCCGCCGTGAGGGTCGCGATTTCAAGCGCCGAATCCTCCAGTTGACGCACGAGACGATCAAGTTGCTCCTGCGTCAATGTGGCGAGCGTGAAGTCGGCCATGGCGGGGGTGTCGGGCAAGCTCAGCGAGAGCCTCGGTCGTGGCCGTGCGTGCTTGCGAGAGAGCACTACGAGCGGCGGTGCTGTATCGCTGAGAGACGTCTACCCCCCCAAAAAAATGAGATAGTGGGGAAGCGAAGGTGTGGATGCGGTCCGAGATGGGATCGTAGGCTCTGAATACCAAGTGTTACGAGTGCAATTGAGTGAACGAACGAGAATTGCACTATCGAAGCAAGAGTACAATGAGCGAAGGCATGAGCGAAGAATATATAGCGAAACTACAGTGGTAACGGTAATGGTCGCGCGGCGAGCCTGGGACTGAGGTTGGGAACGTGTCGAAGCGTAGGCCCGGAGCGCGGGTTACCAGCCGAGCCGTGAGGTCGGGATGCGATGTGCGAAAATGGCGGGATGATGAATGATGCGATGGTCGCGAGTGGTAACGGTGCTGACTGAGGTGCTACAGTGATGTACGCGTTGAGCAGAGATGCGAAGTAAGGAAAAGGGAATTTCCTTATAGTACTCGAACAATACCAATTGCCATGTCACAAACTCCGTGTCGCTACGGGCCTGGAGAACCAACACAACTTTCTTGGTGCACCATTTGATTATCGGATCTGCTGACGACGAAAACTGCAACTCTATTGGACGAGAGATCTGAGGGGCTGGTTACTCGACACACTCATTGGCTGTCGCCTTGCATCACTCATTTGAAGGATCAGAGATTGCCACATGTCTACGCTACTTGAGGTGCGTAAGCGGTTCAGCTTATACATAACGCATTTAAAAACGTTGCGGTGCGGTTCATAAAAGTACGCCGTTCAAAGATATTTTGAACTTCTTTCAGCGCTCGTCCTGGATCTCTAAGAGCCAGATTCAATGGCTCAACTGCTTAGATATTCTCCTCATTAGTCAGGGAAGGCGAGCATCGTGCTATCTGTGTGCTTAGCATATTCAGGTCCAACTTATAATTTTGACTCGTGTGAAGGAGTCTCCCATATCTGCCATGGATTTTCGGATTCATGATACATCGTGTTCGGCAATTGATGTCACTCCTTCAATTTCTGTCACTGCACCTTCTATGGATTCTTACAATGGGTTCCTTGATTTCACCGATTTACCCACAAGAAATTCGTCGCAAGCATCGTTTGTGAGTATGAAATCCTTCTCAAAACGGAGATCCCGCAAACCTATGGCGATAGTGACGTACAGATCCATACCCTTCGCTTCCGTCTCTCAATCCCTCACCTCACAAACTCCAATTACGAACCAATCCGAAACCGCCAGAAGCGACCAATTAGATTCCGACATGTCACCTGAAGACAGAAGACCAGAGTGGCTGGTGAAGTTTTGGCGGGAAGCAGGGTCGGTGCTGGTGGCGTTAGGGTGGGGAGGAGGGGGAGCAGCAGGAGGAACCGCGCCGTCCGCTGTGGATCCCAGGCGGTTGGGATCGTACCTGAAAGCTCTTCGGAGTCAGACACGCGTGCTGCTGAAGCAGCTGCCTTTATGGGAGCGAGCAGGTCAGTTTCTGAGATGCCTGAAATTTGAATCCCGGATAATTGAGAGCGTATCTGAAAGCTCTTCGGAGTCAGATACGCGTGCTGCTGAAGCATCTGCTGTTATTGGAGCGAGCAGGTCAGTCTCTGTGACATAGTATTTTCCAGGTAACGACGTCCTCCGGCGCTCCCCCCTCAACTTGCCCTTCCACTCTATCACCAATTCCATGTCGCCGTTTCCAACTCTCCGCACTGTGTCTGTTTCTTCTCCATCCCGTGATATCATAACTTCTGAGCCAAAGTTGACCAAAGTCATCATGTCCTCTAGCCATCCCTCCCCCTCACCCTTTACAAATCTGCTTCAGGAATCGGAGCTGTGGCGGGGGGGCTGTATAAATTAATCATCTCCTCCTGTCATCTGTATAAATCATCTCCAGGAATCGGAGCTGTGGCGGGGGGGCTGTATAAATTAATCATCTCCTCCTGTCATCTGTATAAATCATCTCCAGGAATCGGAGCTGTGGCGGGGGGGCTGGCTGGCGGGTTCACGAACGCGACGCTGCATCCGCTGGACACGGTGAAGACGAAGCTGCAGACAAAAGGCTCCTCGCTCGTCTATTCCGGCCCAATAGACGTGATTCGTAAGGTGAGTCTGAATGGGTAGGTGAGTATTGAGTCGACACAAAACGAGAAGCTGCAGACGAAGGGCTTCTCGCTCGTCCGCTCGGGCCAATTCGACGTCATTTCAAGGCGGGTCTGCTCGTCAAGATGTCATTTCAAGCCGTCTCAAAGGTCTTCACGAACAAACGAGACGCTGCATCCGCTGGACACGGTGAAGACGGAGCTGCAGACCAAGGGCTCCTCGCTCGTGTACTCGGGCCCGATAGACGTCATCCGCAAGGTGAGTCTGGGAGTGTACGTAACTCACGAATTTACTCTAAGTTCGAAGCTGCAGATTAAGGGCTCCTCGCTCGTCTACTATGGCCCGCTAGACGTCATTCGCAAGGTGGGGGCGATAGCTGACGTCGCTTGTAATGCCCTTTCAGAAGTTGCTTCAGACGCTTCAAAAGAGGCTCTGCAGCGGAGTTCACTTAGTTGCTTCGCAGGACCCAACCCATCACTAGTAACGCTTCCGATACCCTCTCCGTTCTTCTGTTGCTGTCAGCCTTGGGGGGCATCGGTGGGTTCGTCCGCAGGCTGCCCGCCGCCTTCTAGTTCCGAGGCGCCTCAAAACTTCCCCCGCAGGCTGCCCGCCGCCTTCTGAGGCACGTCGTGAATAGCCTTCCCATCATCCCCGCTCCTTGGCCCTCTCTGTTTCCCCCTCCCTTTCCCCGTCAATTTCCCCCCTCCCTCCCCACCGCAGGTATCAGCAGCGCAGGGCATCGGGGGGTTTTACCGCGGGTTGCCAGCGGCGTTCCTGGGGTCGGTGCTCTCGTCCTCCATCTACTTCGGCACCTACGAGCTCGCCAAGGGCGGCCTCTCCAAAGACATCACGCTCCCGCTGCCCTTCTCCGCACTTAGACGACTACCCACCAGCAGCAGGAGAAGCGGGGAGAGCAAGCAAGATAGAATCGGAGGGGGTAGTGGTAGTGGTAGTGGGGGGGGGGTTAGTTCTGTGTCGTCATCGTCGTCATCAGGGGTGGTGCTGTCGTGCCCGGTGGCGCTGGTGCCGCCTGTGGCGGCAGCTCTGGGGAACATCACGAGCTCAGCGATTCTGGTGCCCAAGGAAGTCATCAAGCAGCGCATGCAGGTGAGCGGTGCTGCGCGGTTGAGAGGGGTTGGGTGGAGAGCTGGCAAGGGTGGTGGATGGGTGGCTGAAAGGGGTGGTGGGTGGATGGGGGATCTGCACGTTGATGGTACTTTTGAGAATTCTCAAAAGGATCTGCACGTTGATGGTACTTTTGAGAATTCTCAAAAGGATCTGCACGTTGATGGTACTTTTGAGAATTCTCAAAAGGATCTGCACGTTGATGGTACTTTTGAGAATTCTCAAAAGGACCTGCACGTTGATGGTACTTTTGAGAATTCTCAAAAGGACCTGCACGTTGATGGTACTTTTGAGAATTCTCAAAAGGACCTGCACGTTGATGGTACTTTTGAGAATTCTCAAAAGGACCTGCACGTTGATGGTACTTTTGAGAATTCTCAAAAGGATCTGCACGTTGATGGTACTTTTGAGAATTCTCAAAAGGACCTGCACGTTGATGGTACTTTTGAGAATTCTCAAAAGGACCTGCACGTTGATGGTACTTTTGAGAATTCTCAAAAGGACCTGCACGTTGATGGTACTTTTGAGAATTCTCAAAAGGATCTGCACGTTGATGGTACTTTTGAGAATTCTCAAAAGGATCTGCACGTTGATGGTACTTTTGAGAATTCTCAAAAGGATCTGCACGTTGATGGTACTTTTGAGAATTCTCAAAAGGATCTGCACGTTGATGGTACTTTTGAGAATTCTCAAAAGGATCTGCACGTTGATGGTACTTTTGAGAATTCTCAAAAGGATCTGCACGTTGATGGTACTTTTGAGAATTCTCAAAAGGATCTGCACGTTGATGGTACTTTTGAGAATTCTCAAAAGGATCTGCACGTTGATGGTACTTTTGAGAATTCTCAAAAGGATCTGCACGTTGATGGTACTTTTGAGAATTCTCAAAAGGACCTGCACGTTGATGGTACTTTTGAGAATTCTCAAAAGGACCTGCACGTTGATGGTACTTTTGAGAATTCTCAAAAGGACCTGCACGTTGATGGTACTTTTGAGAATTCTCAAAAGGATCTGCACGTTGATGGTACTTTTGAGAATTCTCAAAAGGATCTGCACGTTGATGGTACTTTTGAGAATTCTCAAAAGGATCTGCACGTTGATGGTACTTTTGAGAATTCTCAAAAGGATCTGCACGTTGATGGTACTTTTGAGAATTCTCAAAAGGATCTGCACGTTGATGGTACTTTTGAGAATTCTCAAAAGGATCTGCACGTTGATGGTACTTTTGAGAATTCTCAAAAGGATCTGCACGTTGATGGTACTTTTGAGAATTCTCAAAAGGATCTGCACGTTGATGGTACTTTTGAGAATTCTCAAAAGGATCTGCACGTTGATGGTACTTTTGAGAATTCTCAAAAGGATCTGCACGTTGATGGTACTTTTGAGAATTCTCAAAAGGATCTGCACGTTGATGGTACTTTTGAGAATTCTCAAAAGGATCTGCACATGCAATGTGTAATATAAACATGCAAGATGCATGTGAACGTGCAAGGATGCATATGAGCGTTCAACGATAAATATGCACATGCAAGATGGAGTATAAACATGCAACATGCAACGAGACATTGTAATGTGGAAGGACGCATATGAACGTACAAGGAATAACATGCATATGCAAGAAGGGGTATGAACTTGCAACATGCAAGGAGACATGTGAGCATGCAAGGAGGAATTTCCTTGACATTTCCCAAGGAGCTTCTCTCACACGCTCATTTCTGCCTACTGCTGTCCCGCACCCTGCTTCCCCACCCGCCCTTCCATTCCCCCGCTCATTTCTGTCTACTGCCATCCCATTCGCCCTGCTTCCCTCCCCTTGCTCACACCAGGCAGGAGCTGCGGGGTCGGTGTGGCAGGTGCTACAGCAGACAGTGGCGGGGGAGGGGGTGGCGGGGCTGTACAGCGGATACACCGCTGCCCTCCTGCGCAACCTGCCCACCAACGTCCTCAACTTCTCCACCTTCGTACGTCACTCTTCTGTTCCCTACCCTGCTCTCCTCGCTGCATGTCAGCCTATTCACCGCTGCCCTCCTGCGCAACATGCCCACCAATGTCCTCAACTCCTCCACCTTCGTACCCCTTGCTCTGCTCTTCCCTGCTCTGCTCTGCTCTGCCCTGCCCTGCCCTGCCCTGCCCTGCCCTGCCCTGCCCTGCCCTGCCCTGCCCTGCCCTGCCCTGCCCTTCCTGCTATTCCCTGCGCTTCCCTGCCGCTGGGCCTGCCACATGCCGCCTTGTGAACTCTCCCTCGCTGCGTGGTAGCTTATACACCGTGCACCCTCTTGCGCCACCCGCCCACCAACGTGCTCAACTTCCCCGCCTTCTTACGCTCTGCATTTTCCTTCTCTGCGCTGCCCTGCTGTTCTCTGCACTGCTCTGCTTCTGTGCCTCTATGCTGCCCCCCAGTTGACTTTTGAGTTGACTTTCAAAAGTCAACCCTGCTGTTCTCTGCGCTGCTGCCGTGCCTCTATGCTGCCCCCCAGTTGACTTTTGAGTTGACTCAAAAGTCAACCCTGCTGTTCTCTGCACTGCTGCCGTGCTTCTATGCTTCCCCCCACATGTCAGCATGCCACATGCCACAGGCCACAGGTCACAGGCCATATGCACATGCCACTTGCCACGTGCCATATGTCAGCATGCCACAGCACATGCTAGCATGCCACATGCCATATGCCATATATCCCATATGCCATTTGCCATATCCCATATGCCATATGCCACATGCCATATGCCAGCATGCCACATGCACCTTGTGAACCTGGTGTGCTCCCTCGCCGCATGTCATTTGCCCACCTTTGCATGCTGCTTTTGCTGCAGCACGATGAATCACACACCCCTCTGTACTCCTCGTTCAGAACCCCCCACCGCACCCCTCTGTTTGATTCCGACCCTGGCGCCCCCGCTACCTGCGATCTTCCCACCATCAGGAGTATCTCAAGATGGCGATACTTCATGTGAGGCATGCAACTGCTCTGCGGCCGCATGAGAGCATGGCAGCGGGAGCAGTGGCAGGGGCACTCTCAGCAGCACTCACCACGCCTCTGGACGTGGTCAAAACGCGCCTCATGACCCAAGCGCGTGTAGCAGTGGCAGCAGCAGGCACCACAGGGGCAAAGGTACCATAACTGCTCTCCCTCTCTTGGTGCATCTCTAAGTGGGTGAGTCTGTTTCTGCCCTCGGTGTCCCCAGCAGCACTCGCCACGCCTCTGGTCATGGTGAAGACGCGCCTCATGACTCAGGTGCGCGTGGCTGTGGCAGCAGCAGGCACTACAAGGGCAAAGGTAACAGCTCGTCTTTCAATCATCTCTTGATGGTCTGTCTGATTCTCTCGGGGCATGCATAATCGATGGTCAAGACCCGCCTCGTCACACAGGCGCATGTGGCCGTGGCAGCAATGGGTATAGCGTGGCATGCGTGGCCGTGGCAGCAAAGGTAACTGCTCTCCTTGCTCTCCTTCAATCATCTCTTGGTAGTCTGTGCGCTTCGCCTTTGGTCTGGATAAACGTTGTTACCAGCGGTAGCGCTCACCATCCATCTGATCAAGACCCACGACTTCGCGCAGTAACCACTGGGAATTGCTTAAGGAGCTGGACAAGGCTTGTGTCTACTCACTCGTGAGTGTCAGATGCAGCAGCAGCAGCAGGCAGGCAGGCACAATCATGACCAAGGTGCAGTGCTCCTTTGGTCCTTCTCCCACCCACACCGAGCTTACTTTTGATGACTCCTTTCCCTGTGTTATTCCATCTTCCCCAATGCCCTCTATTTGTGACCCTTGCACTACTCGGATCTATTGCCGTCGACAGGCAGAGGCAGCAGCTAAAGCTCAGGCGGCAGCTGCATACACGTACAAAGGAGTGGCGTCGACACTGAGGCGTGTATGCGAGGAGGAAGGTGTGATTGGGTTGACCCGGGGCATGACGCCACGCATCCTGTACAACGCAGCGTTTTCAGCCATTGGTTTCCTGGCCTTTGAAACGGCCCGATCGGTCCTGTTGCAAGCGCACCTTGAACGGAAAGCCAGGAAGCAGCTTCAAGGGCAGGTGAAGGGTTTGTCGAGTGATGAGCAAGCTGTGAAAGCCTGAAATGCTATGACAGCAATTGTCTGATCCTGAATGTGAAGAGTGCAGCATCTTTTGCACTGTAATGTGATGTGATGTTGTACTCGAGTGCACTTCCCCAACAAATTTCAATAGTTTGTCAATAGGTTTCAAGTGCAGGTAGTACCACATCAGTGCTGAAATGTGGTGTTGTGTACGATATAGAATTATTGGTTATGAAGGGTATGAAAATTGGTGTACGTGCACTTGGCAGTGTTTTGATAGGTGGAGCTAGCAGTGATGCTGTGGATGGAATTCTTGCCTGGTGGATTTTTGCTCTCACATCTCCGCATGCCGAACCAAACCGAACAAAAGATTCTCTGCACCGAGCGTGCTTGGGAAGCAGTGGCTGCACGTTGGCAAGCCAGGAGGACTGACCTCCGCCGCGTTATCTTGCCGACGCACATCCGTGTGACTGGCGGCGGTGCCCCTTTTAAGTAGTTTTCATCTGCCCGTTCTTTGTCCGCCTTCAAGCGCCACCGTCGATTCACACCTTCATGCTCCAATCCTGTCACGCCTTGTAACGTGTCGTTAGTTTCTCATCTGCCCACAGTTAGAACGCGACTCGCTTCACCGACCACTGCAATTGCAGGAGCGTCCCGGCTCCCCCCTTCCGCCTTTCTTGTTCACTGCTCCCTCGCACTCACACAACCCCCAGCCAAAACTTCCCCCCCACACTGACAAATCCAAATTCAAGTGCCATTTTTAGCACCACAATTCTTTCTTTCTTGCCATTTCTTTCAGCTGAAGCAGCCCAAGATTGTCAGCCGTAGTTAAATTCTCAGCGCTTCTAGCTTGCCTGTTTACCATACAGTAGTAGCACGAGCCCTGCGGCGCGCTGATTGTTTTCTGAGTTCGTAGAGTTGGTTTCAGGCCGCTCGCCATGGCCAGGTCATTACATTCCCGTCCACAACGCCGTGATGTCACGGTGTGGTTCGTTTGCATCTCAGTCGTCGCGCTTCTGGTCACCGCGGAATTGGGCGCCTCGGGTCGTCAGTATGTGTCGGCCGCCGCACCGACTAAGGAGCAGATTAAAGCGGAAGTTAAGAAGATGGCGGATCACGTGAACGCGCACTACCCGAATTACGTCAAGTTCGCGAACGCCGTGAAAGCCGCTATGTCGCTCAACTACGACGTATCCGCGTTAAAGAATGCGACGATATTGATGCCCGATAACAATGCGTGGTCGAGATTCACGAAGCTGGTCCCTCCGTCCGCGAAGAATCTGCCTAAGATGTACAACGTTACAGCGTACCACGTGCTGATACCAAGGATGATGCTAGCGTATATAAGGCAGCAAAAGCCGAGAGCGTTCCCGACGATGCTGAAGCAGCCTCAATTTAAGCAGACCCCGATGAACGCGGTGAACGCATCGTTTGGGCTACTAAATTCGCCCAGGCCCAAATGGTGTACAATAACGACGGCTAGGGTTTATCAGGGCCCATACTTCATCGCCCATGGCGTGGATAATCTCGTAGTTCCCAAGGGTACTATTGTTCCATAGGTTTGCTATGGATAGGATTAGGCGAGCTTCGCTAAGCTACTTGCATTTCCGAACCCTTTTTTGTGGCTGAAGTTACCACTCTGAATATATTATATTCTGAGCAGCTATACCTCCAACATAGTCTAAAATCTGGAGAGTTGTTTCCATCCCCAGCTTTGTTGTTGTATGCAGGTCAGAGTCAGTGGGATTCACGTTACTGCTAACACTCGTTATCACCCGATGCTGTGTGATCCTATTCCTGCTGTACGTTGCCCTTGACCCGAACCTGAGCACTTCCAGGCTCGGCAGGTTCCCAAACCTGTCCAGCAGGCTGGCGAAAACGCAAATCAAGAGGTAGAGAGTACGCAGCTTCGGGAGGGTTTCAAAGCCCAGAGGGAGGAATGGAGAAGCCCCACCGTAGATACAAAGGATTGAGAAAGCTTGCTTTCTTATTCTTATCAATTGGCATCGTTCTCATTACAAATGGGCATCGTTCTCATTAAAAATGGCTTATTACAACATTTGCATCAACGTTGAGCACAAGCTGGTGCAATCGAATAACACTAGCTAAGATGTACCCTATCCAAGTGGCATTAGCAAGGCGGTTTACTCTGGGGTGGGTGGTGGGAGTGTTGAGTGAGCCGTTTGAAAATCGAGAAACGTGGGTGGAGGGAAATGAACTCCAACCCACGGTTTTTGTAGTTGGAGAAGGGCGTTTAGCGCGCTTCGACGATGCCAATTGTGCAGTACAAGCAGCTTCGCTTTCACAATACACAATTTTAAAAAACACAATGTGTGTTTAAAAATTATAATATTGAGAAAGCTTGCTTTCTTATTCTTATCAATTGGCATCGTTCTCATTACAAATGGGGTCTCTGAGACATGGGCAGCGGGGGCCTCCGGTTGCGTACGAGTGCCTCTGAGTGTTGTGCCGACGACGCTGCTGTCAAATGTTGTAGCCTGTAGTGAGGTTTGTCTTAGGGGGTACAGAAGTTAGGGTTTGTTATATGTACCCCAACCAACATCAATGGAACATTCATTCCTCATTCTGACATGGTATCAGCTAGGTTAGGATCCTGTGGGATCCCGTTCCTCCGTTCTCCGTTCGTACCTCCCGAGCCTGATCCTACCTCTCGTTCGTACCAGTTCCGTTGTTACCGCGCCTAGTACCGAGCCTCGCGCCCTTTCCCCCGTCACTTAGCGCCCTTTCTCCCCGTCGCCTCGCGCCCTTTCCCCCCCCCCCCCCGTCGCGTCGCGCCCTTTCCCCCCGTCGCGTCACGCCCTTTCCCCCCGTCGCGTCGCGCCCGTTCCCCCCGTCGCGTCGTGCCCGCCTGTTCCCCCCCCGTCCCGTCGCCCTGTCCCGTCGCGTCACCCTACCCCGTCGCGTCGCCCTGCCCCGTCTCGTCGCCCTGCCCCGTCGCGCCGCCCTGCCCTGTCGCGTCGCCCTGTGCCGTCGCGTCGCCCTGCCCCGTCGCGTCGCTCCCGCCCTTTCCCCAGTCGCGTCGCCCTGCCCTACGCCCTGGCCCGTCGCCCTACCCTAGGCCCTGGCCCGTCGCCCTCCCTAAGCCCTGGCCCTTCGCCCTACCCTAAGCCCTGGCCAATCGCCCTACCCTACGTCCTGGCCCGTCGCCCTAGCCCGCTCTTCCGCTGCAACTGAGTCCTCTTCCCCCCCGGTTGTTACTCGCCTGTTCGTTCGCTTTAGTTCTCACTATGGCGACTCCGCGAGTTCTTCGTTTCGACGCTGACGGTAGACCCCTTGACTTTTCCGTCTGGCTTCTTCGCGCTCGCCGTCTGTTAGAGAGTCAGGTCCAGGGGGGCGAGACCCTCTGGTCACACGCTACTGGTGACCTCCCCGAGCCCCCCGAGCCTACAGCTTTAGGCCCTGCTCCTGACGACGCTGCTACGGCTCGCTTTGCCCGTCAGCGCGCTGACCGGACGGCTTGGACGTCGCGTGACGCTGCGGCCTGCATCGCACTCAGCAGCCTCCTCCCTGAGTCTGAGGAGGTCCACTTTACTCAGGTTCGCACCGCTGCTGCGTACCTCACTGCGATTAAGGCCCGCTACTCTACTCCCGCTACTGTCTCCCTTGGCCGTCTTTTCCTCCCGTTCCTGTTTCCTGATCTTGCCTCGTTTGAGCGCTCTGCTGACTTGATCGCTCACCTCCGCTCGCTCGACGCTAGTTACCGCGCTGCTTGCACTGAGGCACAGCTTGCACTGCTTCCTCCCCCCATGGCGATCACTGTCTATTTCATCGCCACTAGCCTCCCTGACCGCCTTGCCTCCGTTCGTGACGCGCTTCTGCTGAAGCACCCTAGTGAGCTGACTATCGAGGTCCTTGAGTCTGCACTCAAGGACGTCGAGAGCAACCTTCGTTCGGTAGCTGCCGCCTCTGGTACTGTGTCCCCCCCACTCTTCCACGGGTGCACAGTCCCGCAGTTACCCACCTTCACTGCCTCTCTTGCCACTGCCGCTACTGACGCGACTGCGGCTGCTGTTACGACTGCGTCGCGGTCCCGCGGCAGGGGGGGCAAGAAAGGTGGTTCTGGTGGAGGTGGAGGCGGAGGTAGCGGAGGTAGTGGGGGTGCTGTTGCGACTGGGGGTGGTGGGAGTGCAGCGTCTGGAGAGACCCCTGGTGCAGCGGCTGGTGACTCCACTGCACCTGCTGGTGGCGGCGACCCCCGAGCTCGTCAGTTGCCTCCTGTACTGCCGGCCCCGCTAGGTAGAGCAGCGGCGTGGTACCAGGCTCAGCGTCAGCAGCACCTTCAGCAGCAGCAGCAGCAGCCCCTTTCCTCCCAGCAGCCTCAGCAGCAGCAGCGTCAGCAGCTGGCTCCGGGGTCGGGGCTGCGTCAGCCCCAGCGCGGTGCGGCTTACCCTCCCTGCCCCTACCAGGTTCAGACAGGTCCTCGTCGGGGCCACCCTTGTGGCCGCTTTCACCCCCCTGGTCAGTGCTTTGCTCAGCTCACTGACACGGTCCGGTTGACCTACGGGGTTGGCGGTCCTGCTCCTGACTGGCTTCCTCTGGTTCAGCGCTACGGCTCTGCTCTGTGGGGCATGTCTGCTGAGCAGTTAGTTGATCTGATTAGTGCTCCTCATGCTATATATGCTGTTGTTGACTCTAGTGTTTCTGACTCTGTTTACTCTGGTGTTGTTAGCTTAGGTGCTAGTCTTGCTCAGTTGCCTGTTGCTAGTGTAGGTACTTGTGTAGACTCTAGACCAGCGACTACCTCAGAGGACGCTTCGTTGTCGTTCACACTGGACTCTGGAGCCTCCCACTGCTTCTTCCGGGACAGCACGACACTTACACCACTTCCTGCGCCTGTTTCTGTAGCGTTGGCTGATCCCACTACGGGACCAGTCACTGCACGTCACACTACCACTTTACCGTGTCCTGCTGCTCCCTCCGGGTCTCTCACTGGGTTTCACGTCCCCTCGTTCTCCCGGAACTTGGTGGGCGTGCGACCCCTCGTGAGTCAGCACGTGGGTGTGTGGTTTGAGCCTTCTG